TACATTAACTAAAATTAACATAAATTTAGTAAAATGTAGGTACTCAGATTTTCTGTATACATTTTATTTGCCTTTACTATATTTTATATATTTTGCAGGTATTCCGAGTTCCCGTGTCTTTTGTATGTGCTCCGTTGGTGCAGTGTAGCGCCATCTTTTATCGAAGGGCTGAACAAACGCGAATTATTAAGCAGTTTTCTACCTGGCAGAACAGGGTTGTGGTCGATTACATAACATCTAAATAAACGAAAAGGTGGTTCGTGTGTAAACGTGTTTCAGTAAAGAAAGGTAAAAGTGTGTATTTATTCTAAATGCGGACAAACCTTAAATTCATTATAAAATACTGTTAGATGTGCAATAAATTTTAAAGTGTTGTGTTGATTTTTGTGTGGATTTTTTTTTCTTGGATACATCTCTGAAAAATGTACTAGAACCTTGTTTTGCTTATTGCTTCAACTTCAATTTATGCCCAACAGACTATTTAACAAAGGAGAGGGAAGAGTGAAGTACTACAAGGGATTTTTAAAAACATAAATTGGCAACGAATTCTTATTCAGGAGTACTTAAAACCCGACTATACCAATTTTTATAATGTTTCAAAACTTTAAAATCTTATGTTTCCTATTACATCGACCTGAAGTCATGGCTAACTGGGACTAATTTTTGATGTCAAATATCGAGAAGGGCTATTAGAGATTTCTTTAAGAATAAAGGGTCAACGAATTCTTATTCAGGACTACATAATACTAATTTCCATGAACTTCGAATACAGGGTGCTCGAAATGGGACGGTTTATTCGTATAGCATCGCGTATTCATGGCTGACACAGTTTTTTGAAGCGGAAAATCGTGTACTTTTAGAGATTTTTTCAAATTGAAACTAAATGTAACTAGACCAGTGACCAAAATGTTTAACGTTTTAAAAAAATAATTATTTTATATGTGATTTTAAGATCTTGCAAGTTTTAATTATACAAATTTATTTATTTATTTTTTAGTAGCATCCTAAAACAACAGCATTAATCAATCTTTTCGTATTTTTGTTATTTTCATTACTAGATGAGAATTAAAAATCCTTTTTAATTTAAAAAAATACAGCGTTGTGAAGTCGGTTTAGTTCATATCTAATCATATTTAATTTTAAGAAAATTAGTGTCTTTTAAAAAACAACATTGCGGCAGAGTACACATGAACAAAATTTTAATTCTATGAGTCGCTACCCTAGTCACTCAGACCTATTAGCTGTTAGCATAAAAAATAAAGCAACAATTTTGCTTTCTACTTTACATTTTGAAGATACTGCATCGGAATAAACCAAAGATTCTTCTTCACGGGGCATAAATTCTTTTCGAATACCTTGGCATATACTGGACATGGCAGATATCAATGCTTTGAGACTGTGAGAAACCAAATGTAACATATACCCAAAACCAAAAATCGTGATGCATAAAGAACGTCTTTCTTCCGCATAAATATTAGAAAAAGAACGTATTATTGGAGTTCGGAAAAAGTTGTCGGCTACTCAGATGATACTTGCTTGGAAGAATGTTGAAAAATTTGAAAATATTTGTAAAAATGAATAAATTTAAAACGTTTTATTTTATTTTATTGGCAATAATAATGGAGAAATTGGTTTATTGCTTCCAAAATAATACATTCAGTACACTCATACCTAGATGATACAAAGTGGAAGGAAAATAAATTCTTTGTAAAGCACCTGCACCTTGAGAAAAAAAAATGCATGACATTTATAAAAATAAGATGGGATTATACCGCTTAGACTTCATATTACAGAAAATCATTAAAACCCAAAAAAAGGCAACGTGTTTGGTAGATTTTTATTATAATAACAAACAATAACAAGGATTAAGAAAGGACACTAAGATGAAGTGCAATGCAATTATTACTCATTCAAAATAAAACTTCTTAATCGAAGAATATTTAGTATATAATAATTATGGGTTTTAAATTATTTTTGGGGATGTGATCCAAGTAATAGACAAAGTTATTAAAATTTATAGATAGCTTAGTTTTGATTAGTTCCATCGGCTGGTTAGTCCATCGGCTGTAATACACTTGTTGTTTCGACCGGAAGAAAGGCCAATTCAATATTCCCTAGATTTGTAATATGGGGATGTGCAGGGTAGTTATTCAATAGAAGTAATATTTTTCCCCCCCTTAAGTCCGTATCTCCTCTTCAAAAATGTGCGATGTCACCCATGTAGACTTGTTCGCCTTGATGTTCGTAAAACATCGTGGGTTAGTTGATTTTCTTTTTTCTCTCCCACTCAAATTTAAAAGTTTTATCTGGCGTTATTTTGTAAGAAATATCAGTTTCGTCAGCATTAAAAATGTCATCAGCAGGGTACTTTTCTGCTAGTTTTGACCACGTCTTTTCCAGCCAATCGTTAGTGACGTTTCTGTCGACATTAGTGGTCCGCCACTTATGTGTCCATAATTTAAACCATGTGTCTGTTTGAACTTCCCCAACCATCTTTTCGAAGCCTTGAAATAGATAACGCCAAGCTGTCCAGCAAACTTTTCTGCTTTTAGTTTTACGATAGGTCCAGAGAGTGGTACATTTTTAAGACGTTGCTGTTGGAACCACTGCAACATTGCCCGATCCAAATCTTCAAATTTTGGCTTTCTTAGTTTTTTACTAGAACTACCTGCCGCTTCAGCAACTTTATCATCCAGAGATAAAATTTTTCGCTTACTCGCCATGCTCGCGGTATTCATTAAGTTAAATTTTAAGTAATTGAAACAATGGTGTGCTTTTATACATACCGATAAAGGCATTAAAATAACCGCTTATTACGAGAAAAACACTTGACGACCATGTTCTCAGTAATTAGATTATTAGGGTAAGGAATTATGAGAAGGTAAGAGACTATTAATTACAAGTCAGCCTACATTCCGTACTTCGTTACCTGATGTGCCCTTTTTTCTTTCGGTATAAAGAGTGAGAGATTCGTTATAGAGATTAATACATAGATTTGTATGGAGACCTAATAGTACAACAAATTTTGTTCGTAATACAGAGATTTACTTTATACAGAGTTTCGCTATAGGGAGTTTTCACTGTACTTTTTAAGCGACCTTCTGATTCCTAAGACTGAAGTAAGTAAGAAGTAAGTTAGCAACTAAAAACTAGATATTTTGTTTTCGATAAAGATTTTATTTTTTACAAAAAAAAGTTCTCGATTTATCCAGTGCAGTGGCGACCTGATGAATGAAAACATTATCTGTTAAAAAATTAAATTATAAATACCACTGAGGTTGTTGAATTCGACAGGATCTAGTAGCATCTGGAAAAATAATACGAAGGATGGAAAGCGATCAGAACAATACACAACTTTATCTTTCACATTTTAAAGAGAAGATAAAACGACGGTGTATTACAATTTATATGAAAAAACGAGAGTTTTAGTCGTATTTTCATTGCGGTAAAGTCTGTTCATAGTTATAAGAAAGTCACTAACTGATACGAATTAAGGAAAGACCCGGGCAAGCTGTAAGAATGAAATATTTCCGAACAAGTCCGTACTTTGCTTAGAATTTAATTATTTGGGGTTTTGTTAGGAAAGATACTAAACAATATTTATTTATTTATTTATGTATTTATGTTTAAATCTAAAATAAAATTACAAATTATTTTTATTACCTACTTAAATTACTTAAAATTATTCACATAATATATCACTATCCCTATCGCTATCATTGCCTGTTCTAATTATTATTTGTTCTATATTATTTGCAATATGGATATACGATTATTCTGCTTTTTCTATATGTTTAACAGAATTTGCCCAACTTTTTGTTTGAGGACATTGGAGTTAACACGGAAAAAACATTGTTACGACGAATGGCAGATTTCAGTTGGTGCCAAACATGTTCAATGGGATTAAATATACAGGGGTAAGGTGGAAGCCTTAAAACTGAATGCCCTAGATTTTTTGCATAATTATCATAGACGGATTCCTTTTGTAGGTTCAAGCTTTGTAGAACCTCAATTAATTGCTTTTGGTATAATGTTCGTGAAAATAAATATAGTTATTATACATGTAGTTTTGGATTGTTGCTTTTGTGTCACATGAGGAATGGGTTTTAGTTAACTATCTACTGTAATAACTTGCATTGTCTATTACAATAAAACCATTAGGAGCAATGTTTGGAACTAGTTTCTTTTTAAACCAACTTTCAAATAAATCAGCGGTGGTGTCTTCATGGTAATCCAGAGAAGAACCTTTAACATTTTTCGCAGACAGAGAAAGTCCATTTGGAATCCGATCATAAGTGTCGAACCAGGTTTCATCCAAGTAAATAATTGGCCTTTGTTGTTCTCTGTAAATCCTAATTTTTTCTAGATATTCCAGTCGCCATTTCCGAATTCTAAAAGATTCCATTAAAACTTGCCTTTTGTCAATTTTTTTAAATCTAAAACCCATGTGTTGAATACATTTCCATTAGGTAGTTCTGCCACATTTAACAGCGGTTTCATCTTTTTCAAGCCTCCTATTCAGATATTTAATGTAGGCACGCTTTGTTCCTCGTATAACTGGTAAATTTTACGCCGTATTATATCTTGATCACTTTCCTCTACACTCGAGAAAATGTCAGCTTCGCTTCTTTTTTTCCTTGCTGAAATGGGATTATTTTCTATACAGTTGATGTTGGAATTTTCGTCAATGTGGCCGTTTCTTCTAAAGATGTTTGCTTGCTGACACCACGTTCAATGAGAGTCAAATAAACATTGTTTATAACTTCCTTAGTCTCAATTGAATACTGTTTTCTACATTTGGTTGGGACCATCTCCCGAGATACACTAGACTCGCACATATTTTGCATAATTCGCACACGATTCAACACACGCTGTATTACACACGAAATAAGAATGATTACCAATAAACTTGAACTAAGTAGTATACCAAACCAAGGAATATTAAACACAGGTAGGTATAAAATTATTTTCTATTATGGACCACAATTTTACCTGAATTTAAATTCCGAAACTTCAGGTAATAATCTTGTTGCATTGTATATTAATGACCACCCTTGGATAATCCCATTCAAAAGGAATTGGTCACTTTCTTATATCTATGAACAGACCATACCAACTTGACACATGGCAATTCTCGTACGATATTGTTAATCGCGTACTTTGCAGTGTACGGCACTCCTGCGCGTTGGCTTATTTTTATCAGTTCGTTGTTGTGTTCGCTGAGTATTCATATACAATACAAGTGTTAACGATCCGAGACGATTCTGTCAGGGAGAACTTTTTACGTGCTTAAATTAGGTATGTCGAGGATATTTCCAGAGACCTTCAAGGCCAGCGAAAAACGACTGAAGCAGATTTTGCCAAAATTTGTCAGATGTCTAACGTCCAAACCCAAGTAAGTGGGATTAATCAGCCATAATCAGTTCATGCGTATTGATTTCTGTTGATATTCTGTTATCAGCGTTATATTGTTATTAACTTTTAGATCAATTTTAATGAATGATAATAGTTTTCAAGTGCGTAACCACGTAAACGCCAAGGTTAAATTCATGACAACAATTAGCTTAATCGACGGGATTGGTCAACAAATATCGTACCGGGCGTTTTTAATTAGACCAGAAATAATTTAAGATATTTTTATTTCAAAGTTGTTTTTGGAAATAACTATTATTTCCTGAAATAGTGATCGCGCTTGAGAATTAGTTAAAATAATTTATTAACTAACCAAAACTGTTATGTTTTTACTTTAAGCGGGGGCCCTACTTTATTGTTGAAGAATGTTATTTTTTAAGAAAAAAATAAAAATATACCCAGTAGTAACTTTTTTTAACAATTTCTGAAATAAAAAAGAAGTTTTTGTACCCCTCACATTATTTTTTTGATATTCTCTTTCGCTTAGAAATTATCGAATTTTATTTTGAAACACTATTATTATGATTATGATAACTAAAATATAATAGATATTAGAAATTATTTAAAAAATTGTACTTTTCAACCATTGCAGTTGTGAATATAATTGAACTGAGGTGACTTTTACTTCATGAAAATCGATTTAACGAAATAAATAAGAACTAAAAGTTCAGATTTTCACGAAATTATATATATTCACATGACAATTGCTTCGACAAGACAGTCTCTTTATCGAATGTAATATTTACAAACTACCTGCTACTAAATATACCAAAAAATGACCATAAAACCTTAATTAATGTTGTTGTGACAATTTAAATTCAATAAAGGAGAGGTATTTAAATCTAATTGATTTTAAGCAAAACATTTGAGTGTCTCATTTTGTAGATAAATTTAATTTTCTACTTTTGTGGCTGTATGTAAAATATCAAAATTGTCGTCAAAAATGTGTTTTTCTGTGTTTAAGTGTGTAGCATAATTAGAATCTAGACTATTGTTTTTAAACGCTCTTTATGTTCATTAATGCGTTTCTTGAAGGATCTACCTGTTTGTCCAACATAAATTTTAGGACAAGAACCGCATTTCAACCTGTGACACCTGATTTTTGAGATTTTGGACATTTCGTTTTATTTATTTTTTTTAATTTTTCTATTGTGTTGTTAGTTCTGAAAGCTATTTTTAAACCACATTTTGACAAATGTTTTTAAAAACTTTTTCACTAGGTTCTCCTATGTATGTAATTGTTTTAAATTGTTCGTGTTCTGTATTAGGTTTCGGATAAATAGAGTTTACTGTTGTCTGGATTTGTTTTTTGATTTGTTTAATGATATTAAGTTCTTTGTTGTAATTTTCAGTTGAGAGTGGCATATTAAGAAGTCTGTGTATAAAAGAGTGAAATGCAGCCATTTTGTTTGTATAAGGGTGAATTGAGCTGTTATGAATGACTGTGTCCGTGTGTGAAGGTTTACGATAAATGGAAAAATCTATTACGAAAACACAAAACAAACTAGATTTTTCCATTCACAGTCATACATAACAGATCAAATCACCCTTATACACACAAAATGGCTGCATTTCACTCTTTTATACACAGACTTCTCTTAATACGCCACTCTCAACACAAAATTACACCAAAGAACTTAATATCATTAAACAAATTGCACTGGACAACGGCTACAATCCGTCCATTATAGATAAAATTATAAATAAAAACACATCCAGACAACAGTAATCTCTATTTATCCGAGACATAATACAGAACACGAACAATTTAAAACAATTACATACATAGGATAAAAAGTTTCAAAACATTTGTCAAAATGTACTTTAAAAATAGCTTTCAGAAGTAACAACACAATAGAAATTTTATTAAAAAACAATAAAATGAAATGTCCAAATTCTCAAAAATCAGCTGTCTACAGGTTGAAATGCGGATCTTGTCCTGAAATTTATATTGGACAAACAGGTAGATCCTTCAAGAAACGCATTAACGAACATAAAAGTGCGTTTAAAAACAATACTCTAGATTACAATTATGCTACACACTTAAACACGGAAAAACACATTTTTGAAGACAATTTTGATATTTTACATACAACCACAAAAAGTAGAAAATTAAATTTATTGGAAGCTAAACTTAAATTCTCACAACAACATTAATTAAGGTTTTATTGTCATTTAGTTTGTAAATATTACGTTTGATAAAAACACCGTGTTGTCCAAACAATTCTCATGTAAAAATATATAATTTCGTGAAAATCTGAACTTTTAGTACTTATTTATTTTGTGAATATAATCGCGCTTTGTTTTTCAAGTTCATGTTTGCAAAATTGTAAAAGTTATTGGACAACAATGTCAGCTCTGATTTCAGTGTAACATAATTCATTAGTTTTTTTCTATTGAAATTCATTTTTTTTATGGAAACACATTAGACGGTCTTCTTTCTGGGTGAACAGCGAATTACATTTGAAGTGTTTTTTGAAATTACACATTTTTTGACGTTTTTTAAAAAAATTAAATCTGTTGCCATTTCGTAATGACCAAGAAGCATTTGCTTCCTTACCCAATTCCACCAGAAGTTAATTTGTCCCGGATTTTTTTCGGTCCATTTGGGATAATTTTCAAAATATTCAAAAAATTTCAACAATAATTCTTAACCTTTTGTGTCAAATTATAAGCGAAAATTGGGGAAGCAGGTGACACACACTGCTAAATTTTGCATATTAAATTCAAAAACGCAAATTCGCGCGTTTTTTGATATTGAAATCTGCCGAAGTCCACTAAAGAATCATTGAAATATTAACTAAAAACATTTTTTTTATTTTACATCCTGTTTATATGAAGCTTTATATGTCAATTGGTATGTAACAGTATAGCTATACCTTTACAACAATACTGGGAATTATAATTACCAACATAGGAAGAAAATTTAAACTGTTTTAAATGTTTTCATCTTTCAAAAATCATTTATGCTAAAGCAATAGCAATTTTCTTCTTTCGAAAATATATATGAGTGGCCTGGATGGCAAAAATTCAAAAATGAGATAAGCGCGCCATCTTTTTTTTCTAATACATATTTACGTTATGTCCAAGTATTATTAAAACTTGCTGTGTGATGCCAAACTTGCTTTTTTTGAAATTGATTAAAAGTTTAAACAAAATTGGTAAAAAATGTATTAAATTGATAATAAATAAAATAGATAAAAAAAAGGTAAAGTAGAAGACAAAAGTTTAAAAGATTAATATAATAAACATATTCATTTATTTGAATAAAAATGGCCCATTCGACAACAATTGCTCGAATTTCAAAAAAAAAGTTCCCCAAAACAATCTGTCATCCTAATATTCCCAGTAGCAGGACATTCTTTTTTTACCGCCTGACGAAGAATAAATCTGTAAATGATTTGTTCTTGAAAAAACCATAACACCAACAAAGCTGACAGATTCGTTTTTACTATAGGAGAAATGAATGCCAATTCAGCTGAGTTCTATGTTAGCTTGAAACTAAAGAGATCACCAACAATTTCACTTCTGGAAAATCATTACTGAGAAACCTGGGAAGAAACAACTAATTTAAAGAAGCACTTCTTACCCCTAGAACAGACCAAGATAACACCCCTGATTATCATACCACATTAATTTTTTGGATTTTTGACCATAAATTTTGTAAAAGAAATGCTTCTCTTTAACTTTAGTTGGGAATAGAAATGGGAGCAAAACTTGTTAAATGCTTTTGTTTTTCTTACTTCATTCAAAAAGTGTCTGTTAAAATTTTTAGAATAAGATATGATTTAAGATGGGCAAGCAAGTGCAAGAAGACACCAGAATCTTGAACAGACTTGTTAAAACTTTTTCTTGATTTTTTAAAATGACCTTTCACACAATAAGGTAGTTTTGCTTCTAGAGCACTCAAACATATCTTTTTTTTACTTCTAATTTTCGGTATATTGATTTTGCTATTTGAGAAATGAAAGTAATGCCTTTCAGTAATGAATACGATGTCATTGTCGTGGGAGGCGGTATCGTGGGAACCGCTTCTGCTCGGGAGTTCAAAAATCGCCACCCCACTCTCAAAATGGCCATATTAGAAAAGGAAAACGACCTAGCTCGGCACCAAACTGGACACAATAGCGGAGTAATTCATGCTGGTATTTACTACAAGCCTGGTAAGCTTCACCGTCGACTGCTAAACAAATTACAATCACATTCTTTAAGGGTCACTTAAGGCTAAGTTGTGTGTCGAAGGATTAAGGCTGACATATCAGTATTGTGACGAGAAAAAGATTCCCTATAAGAAAGCTGGAAAACTCATAGTTGCGACAACGGAAAAGGAGGTTTTACTACTCACCGATCTTCATGACCGAGGTATGCGTTGTAGGGTGTTTCCTTAATCTCGTTCGCGTGGTTTTTCTCTCGCAAAAACAGCGCAAAATAATTGGCCACGGTATCTTAGGAATTCTTTCACATTTCAAAAGCCTTCAGTTTGTTCATCGCATTTACCTTCAAGGTCGTTCAAGGACAACCAAGTATTTGCTAGGCCAAGAGCAAAGGACCCAATGATACTCTCGAATTTCGCTTTACCAAGCTCAACTTCAAGCTTTTTAATTTTAATACCTCTCGATAGAACTCTTCCAATTCTTGTTCTGGAATAACTAAAATCCAAGAGATTCAAATTCCATATTTTCCCTTCCCCCTTGCGGTTCTCTTTTTCTTTGTCTTTGTGGGTGCTTTGCTATTTCTTTTAGACCTTTTTATCTAGCTCTAGTTTCTAGCTAAGCTAGTTAAGGGTAACAGTATGCACTGAAGGTTAATTGAAGAAAATCCTTTTGCCTTTGGTTCAAACAGAGTTAAAATTATTAGAAAATCGAAAATGTCAAATTAACATCTATACGACACCAAAATTTTTGCAAAAGTAATATTGAATATCTCAGAAAAATCCTATTTTGTCAAAAAGATTGAACGAGATCATTAAAGACTCATTTAGGAGAGCCTCAAAATGGTGTATTACTCAACCAAGCCACAACGGTCGGGAAAAACTACTACTATATAAAACTACCCCCAATAATGAAATAACCAAATCTCACGTTGTCCCAGAAATTGAATTAGACCATGAAAGAGGCACTTAGAAGAGCTTCAAAATGATGTATTACTCAACCACTTGAAACCGTCAGGAATATATAAAACTACCCCACATTATGAAATACCCATAAATTCGTTATACTTATTTCGCAATCTCAAAAAATTCTGACGCCCAGAAAATTGAATTAGACCATGAAAGAGTCACATCGGAGAGCTTCAAAATGATGTATTACTCAACCAGCTTCGAAACGGTATGGAAGATATAAAACTACCCCCAATGATGGAATACCCAAAAGTGTGTTATGTTTATTTTGCAATCTGAAAAGAATCTGACTTTATCAAAGAGATTCTACGAGACCATCAAAGAGCCACTAAGGAGAGCTTAAAAGTGATCTATTACTCAACCAGCTTGAGACGTAAAAAAAGAGTGGGAATATATTTTTCATTTTTAATAAAAACATCTCGATATAGACCTAAACAATGTCAATATCAAAAATCTTTTTTATAAAACACCAACAAAGAAAAAGAAGTTTTTGGAATGCTATATAGATTGTCTGTGTCCAAACACAGTGTGAGTCTCCTCGGAACAAATTCAGTAAATTTTTGAAAGAAACTTCCCAAACTCCTCCCGCACTGGAAATTTAGTAAATCTAAGTTTTTCTTCGCAAATAATATTGGACATGGTGTCCCAATTTTCGGACGTCATTGACAATTTTTTTAAATAGCAATCCCGTTCTTTAATAAATATGAATTGTCTCATTTAAAGATTTTTAACGAAAAAAATCGATGAAATCGAATTTTTCGAAAGTATCTACGCTTGTATAAAAATTTTATATCTAGGTAACGGTAGGTCCTAGGGGACTGCCATTGCTACAGAAATCATCAGCGTCCAAAAAAAAATTTTTGTTTTTTTTCTGTCCGTTCTCCGATCCCCGTTCTCTGTTCCAGGACATATTCGACAATAACTTCGGAAAGGTTTCAGTTAGACGGTCCAAATTTTGCTCCTTTTTAAAAATCCATGGGGTGCACAAGTTATGTGAAAATGGCCGCGGTCAAACATCGACGGCCATCTTTTTTCTTCAATTTTCGAAATGTACAGGATGCGCCACAAATTCAAAAAAACTGGAAAATGATTGAAATGTGGCTCTAACTAAAAGACCGTGTTTCGCATATCAGTTTCTTTTACATGACGATATAGCCCGCATAAAAAGCTAAAACATTTGCATTTAAGATTTTCACCTGTTGTACAGGGTGTTCAAGATATTACGTGCTATATTCAAAAATTAACAGGTATTTTAAGTTTGCAGCTGTAAATTTGACAGAAGGGTAGAAGTCCACCCCCCATTTCATCTGTTGAAAAAGGTTTTACTTAAATCTCGCAAAGCATTTTTTACAAATTTTTGATTGTATATTTTGACTTCCAGAAAAACATTATTTTCTCAAAGACTATTAACCCGATCGGCAAAATTTGTGAATCGGAAAATGCCGGAGATCCTATTGAAAAAAATTATATATTCATTTATTCATATTGTTTGTATAAAAATTATAAACCAATGCCATTTTTCATTCCACTTTTAAATAGCATGAAACCTGAATTGAGTTGAAGTATTCTTCTAATTAGATAATGTTTAAATTACAAGGGAGACTCGCACTGTTTACACCCTCATCAATCAATGAAATTCTTTTTAGGATTGAAAAATGAGGTACCCGAATTAAAACTGCTCAAGGGTCGTGAAGAAATAAAGAAAGTGGAGCCACATTGCGAAGGCTTAGAAGCCCTGTGGTCTCCCCACACGGGCATCATAGACTGGGCGTTGGTCACTCAACATTACGGGAAAGATTTTCAACAGCTAGGAGGAGAGATTCGTCTTAACTTCGAGGTGCGACCCCAATTTTGAAATTATAAGGAAAATATATACTATTCCATCTGTAATAATGGTTCAGGGTTAAGAGGAAATTCTTTCAAAATAATATTTCAAGGTGAATGGTTTCCACGAATCGGATGATCCAAATTTTCCCGTGGAAATAACATCGAAAGATACCGCCACCGTGAAGAGCAAATACGTTTTAACCTGTGGCGGGCTACATGCGGACAAACTTGCGGAATTATCAGGTATAACGGAAATATTGAATACATTAATAGAAACCAATATTCTGCACTGCCAAATCTTATTAACGTCTATTAGCGATCCGTAGGCTGTGCGAGGGACCCACGGATAGTTCCTTTCAGGGGCGAATACCTAATACTCAACCCATCCAAGAGGCATTTAGTGAAGGGTAACATCTACCCGGTACCGGATCCAAGATTTCCTTTTCTGGGAGTCCATTTTACGCCGAGAATGGATGGAAGTATGTGGCTGGGTCCTAATGCGGTGTTGGCCTTCAAAAGAGAGGGATACAGGTGCGACGCTAATATACCCAGTCTTATTTATTACGGGGTTATTTTTCAAGTATTTTTAAGCTAAAACGTTACTATAAATTTGTGCTATTTACAAATCTTCTGGATGTCACCTGTGTCGGTTGTTTATAAATCAAACTTGCTGACATTTAACAATTATGCTCTTGGTTTCTTCAGTTTCAACAGGATTATGGGCAAAACATCAGCAAATTTGATTTATAAAGGAATCTTGAAGATCTACAAATAGCATTACAGTAGCCTGCGGAAGTTTTCCTGAAAAATTATAAAGTTGTGGTCTAAAATGCTTCGAGTGAAATTTTTATATTTGGGTATCCTGCATTGTTTATTTATTTGTTTTTATTTATTTATTAATGATAAGTAGCATAGGGCTAACAATGCGGAACATTGTTTGAACCGATTAGTCACATTTTTTGTGATTTTTGATTCGCTGTTAATAATTTACTCTGGAAAAGAACAATTTTCTGGGCCTTTTAGATCTTTGTCTATAATTGGAAAACCCTGTATATAATCGAAAAAAACGCCTTAAATAAATGTTATAGCACGGGATCTTCCGCTTCTGCTAGTTAAAGAATTTTGACAATCCGCTCAATGGTTATGGAGAAAAGTTTGTTTTTCTGGAAGCCAAAATAACCATAAAATAAATTTCAAAATTAAAAAAAAGGTAGTTGGTGAAATTTCATTGCACCCAATTTCCACTGTTTAAATGTGGGCATGAACGTTTACTTCTCTGCTAAATTTGAAGTCGATATATGCAAATGGAGGACACTTAACAGATTTCTTATATACCACGGAATATCGGGAACACTTTTTACATTAGGTGAAAACCTTAAATCCAAAAGTTTTAGCTGTCTATGTGGGCTATATCGTCATATAAAGGAAACTAATATCTGAAACACTGTCTTTTAGTTATAGCCAATTTTCACTATTATGGCCATTTTTCATTTTTTTTTTGAAAATGCGGCCCACCCTGTACATTCTAGAAAAATTATCAAGAATAAAATTTTCCCAAATCTTGTGCGTCTTCTCGTTCAAGAATTTTTTCTGTTGCATAAACAGTTTTCCAGAACTGATTTTTTTGTTAGACCCTTACAAACGCGATTTTTATTTTTTTTTAAATAATTCCCGACCCCTCAACCCCCCCAATTTCAATAGGTTCTGTTAGAGGACCAAGCATTATTCCCCTGCCAAATTTGAAGTCGATAGCTTCAATTTTCGGACAGTTATTGTGTTTCATAGCAACGGTTTCTCCTATTATATCACAAAACGCCCTGTAGCGGCATAGCTGACAACTTGCATGCAACAAGATGTGCGAGTAGTAAATGCTTAAGATTATGGCTCCTGATATTTCGTCAGTTAGATAGTTTGGCAGATGTGGTATTTTTATGGCATTATTTTCTAAAAATATGCTTAAATGTGTAAAGATCGCTGCTTAAAAAAAAAATTAGGGGGTTACAATAATGTCATAGCAGCCGGAGACGCATCAATTTTGATCATCTTTAAGGCCACTGTATTATCTACTAGCCCATATAGATAGGTAATCAATATTTTTTTAAATGATACTACACAATTGTAGGTCAAAATTGTATCACCAAAAATAGTGGTCGTTCAAAAAGTGAGAAAAGCAGGTACACTATATCCAAGCTAATTTCAATGATTCTAAGAACATGCTTTTGTTGGATTATTTGTCATTATGAAAATTGTTAACAGATTTAAATTTAAAATGTCAAATCAAAATCGACTTTCAAAAGTTTGAAAATTGTTGATGTGCGTTATTACTAGTGTTTCAAAAACGTTAATATTAGAACAATATCATTTTTCAATATTTATTGAAAGAAATTTTTGGATTTCAAAAGAATTGTGTTGTGTTTCCAAGAGAAATGCATACTTTAGGGGCATCCATTGCACAGCCTATTCACCAATTTTATTTAGTAAATTATTAAGAAAAAACAAAACTTGATTCAGGTGGTCCGACATAAACTTATCTGAACTTATGGACGCCCTGTTGTATCCCGGATTTATAAAAATGGCCCTGAAATACCCTAAAGCGGGTTTAAGAGAAATTCTAAAATCGTGGGTACCGTCCGTACAAGTAAAAGAATTGAAAAAATACATCCCGGTCATCACAGTCGAGGACGTTAGTCGTGGACCTGCCGGAGTTCGAGCCCAAGCTATGGACAGCAAAGGTTAGCAATCGACCAAGGCCCTTATTCTTGACCGCGAGACCCAAAGACTCAAGAGAAAATGGGTGTGCAATTCCTATTCTTCAAAGTCAATAGAATTTGCTTCACTGAACGTCTCTTAAGTTATTTTGAGGGAAGCAACCAATTTCTTGCTTTTAGAAAGGAACGCTCACCACCTGCTGTCGTGAGAAATATTCTTGTTCTCTACAACCCTGACCTCTATATTTGTCGACAAATCCATCCAAGTTTAAAAAAAAAAACAACTTATGGAAAAAGTTCCAACAAAAATATTACGTTCCACCCAATTGTTTCTTTGGTATAAGTTGTTGAGAACATCTCTTTGATCTCGCATTGATGGAATCATAACTCCTTTCTGTGCGGCTGTAATGAAAAGACTTTTCCCTCGGTTTTCCGAGAGAGTTATAAAACTATAAACTATAAAGAGCTATAATACTTACTAAGATAATTGTCGAGGCTCCCCAGAGTGGTGGGTAGACGGTTGACCTGAATTTGTTGCTGATAAACAAAACTGGCACTTTAAAAAAAAGGGAAACTTATTAGTCTCAATGTATCCAAAAAAGAACGACAGGAAAAAAAGACACTGTAATAAATGAGGATGAAAAGGCTGCCACCAGAAGGATAATACATTCCATTTACCTAAAAACAAATACAACATAATGCCCGAAATGAAAAAGGGTGATTTCATTCGACCCATGGGTAAGAAGCAATTATGGAAAAATTTGAAGGAAATGAAATGAAATAGAGACAGACGAAATTTGGGATATTGGAAATCAGCCTCAGAAAAAGGTAAAAGATCTATAATTACTCGCATTGGTTCCAAAAATGTATAATAAGGTGAGGATTTCGATCAAGAGAGAGACCACCATGACGACATGACTGCCTATTTTTGTTGTATTACTACTTCTAGTTAATTTCAGATCTTATTCCTCCTGGGTCTGTTATAATTCCAGCTATAAAATACCCACGAGTTGGAAAACAAATTATATCACTGGCTCACGTTAAGTAAGAACCAATTCCAAAAAGATATGGTAAAAAAGACACGTAAATTTGAATATACGAAATCGCTTTCAAACAAAATATAACTGTACTTTGCTTGCCGCCATTTCACTGTGAATTAAACCCCATAGACAAAACGTTTAATAGCAAGGCATAACACCACTTTAAAAATGAGGAACGTTGAAATCACCTTGCAAGAGCGAATTAAGATAGTGGATTCTGAAAAATGCAGTGATTGAAATAGAAGAAAGAATTTGGGTAGTTATCAAACTTACTAGAAAACACTTTAAAACCGCTTAAAATTTTTCTGCAATAATTATTGCTTATCTGATTACTCAGATAATGATGATTAAAATTTACAAAAATGATGTTATTTCGATATTCACTTATTTTATTTTCTATTGAAAATATGCTTCTCTCCTGATATCCCATTTGTGCAGCTTAGATCTATGATATATTTCTTATTTTCATATCTCGCTGCCGTATAGCATGCTTGGAACTGTGATAATTTTATAAAATTTCTGTTGGATTTCTCTTCTGTTTATGGTACCACACATTTTATTAAAACGCGCTAGTTGATTGTCGATTTTATTATGAATTCCGTTTGTCATATCGCAGCCAAATATTCTAAGCACTTATTTCGAAAACATTTTTTGATCTTATTGTATCTTTACCCATAGATGCTATAATTTTTGTTCTATTGTTCGAAATTTCACAATTTTGTAGTCTTTGGTCATAGCGTCAAGGAGATGTGCAGCTTTCTGTAAGTCGTCCTTAGATTTTGCTTGTATAAAAGCAGGGGTTTGACTTCTGTTGTTCGTTGAATTGCTCGGTAGATTCTTTTAAAAAATAAATTTTAAAGATTGTGTTCTTGGAAAATGAGAAAAATCAGATGTAGAGATCTGATTAACAAATAATAATAACTGCAATTTGAAACTCTTCAGGTATTGCCAAATATCGTGGAGAAACTGATTTTTCCCTTGCAATTTGAGATTAAGTTTATTCATTTGTACGAGCAGGTCTGTGAAAAAAGCGAAATCAGAAACCAACGTTTCGTTTTCTAAGACGTCAAATTGATTATAAATGTCTTTATCAAAAAGAAAATTCAGCATATCGTCTTTTAAATCCCAAATTCTTTCAAATACTTTTGCAGTACTTAACCAACGAACTTTTGAATAATACAGGATATCGGGATGCTCAGCATGTACGGACTCCAAAAACTGTTGAAACTGGCGATGTAATAATTCCCTGGAACGAATCATATTTACTAGTTTTACAATAATATTAAGTATATGGTCAATATCTAAAGCCGATTTACAGAGAGCATCCTGATGTATAAGGCAATGCAAAAAAACAACATCATTTTCCGGACACTAAGAATTAAATTTCCCAACAAATCCTTGATTGATTCCAACTACACTAGGAGCACCATCTGTAGTTACATTACATAACTTATCAATAGGTAAATGAAGTTTATCGATGAGATTTGCAAATTCCCAAAATTATCGGCACCAGTCGTTGTTCCTTTCATTGACTGCAGCCCTGCAAGTTCTTCTGTAATTTCAAAGTGGGCGTTGATTCCTCTTACAAATATGTCGCTGATATCTGTACTGCACTGTACTGTACTGTACTGTACTGTACTGTACTGTACTGTACTGTAATAAAATTGTGAGTTTTTGTAGTCAGTTGTGAAAGTAGATTTTTATCAATATTTTCAGTTCTCTCGGTGATTGTTCTTCTTGAGAGAGACAGTGACTGAAAATCATTTTTCTTTTCAGGGCACATAATATCGCACACATCTATCATGCACTGCTTTATAAATTCTCCATCTGAAAATGCTTTATTAGATTTGGCAATATTATTAGCCAACACATAACTGGCTTTAATTTAATTTTTTTCACCTCTTCACTTAACGATGAGGAGGGTTTTCATGTTTGCTGTTGAAATGGCGTTGAATGTTATATTCTTTTAAAACTGCAACAGTTGTGTTGCAAAGTAAGCGCACAGGTTTTTCTTTAAATAAAGTAAAGAAATATTTTCGCGTCCATTCTTCTTTAAAAACTCGACATTCTGAATCCACTTTTCTTTTTTTAACATCCATTTTAGACGTTACCTACTACGGAGGATAACACACAGAAACGCAATTGACGAAAACTTACTACTAACTAATGCTCTTGCGCGGTTGAGGCAGTGAGACACATATTAAAATTTAACTTTCAAAAAAAAAAAATTCCACCTACAAACATCCCCATGGCATAACGTCAAAGCACAAAGGTAAAATATTTTGAAAATTACACAGACAGAATTTCTAGCGCACCCATTGGCCATATATGTTTGACAAGAAGGCCATTTCCGACCGGTCAAGAATAAGGGCCCAAATTACAGGCCAAATTAAACTATTCGTCGCTTTTAGGTAACCTGGTAGACGATTTCTATTTCGACATGTTCAAAACCGGCGGAAATAGTAAAATCGGGAGCAGGGTATTGCATTGCAGGAATGCACCGAGTCCCGGAGCGACGAGTTCTCTGGCGATAGCCAAAATGATGGCAGATAAATTGGAACAAGAGTTTGAGATCAAATAGTACAAGGCAATTAATTTGTGTCAAGTAAAGCATTAAATATTTCTTTATTTTGATTTTATTGTTTAGCGTTTAAGTAAAGGGCAGTCGGTGAATGGTGAGCAGTTAAACAGGAACTGTTTTGGTTTCGACAAGAAAACAGCAAATTTTATTTCAAGAACCCTTTAGCGTTCCAATACTTTATGCCACATTGGTAATTTCCTATTTATTTCATTCTACTTAAAAGTCAACCGTACCATAATTCTCCGTCTTTACCAATTTCCCCACAAATACAACATATTTCGTTAGGTTTGGAAGATTTTCTCGAAGAGGTGGTTTAAAAATAAAGTCAACATCGTCTAACTCGTCTTCGTTACATATGTCTTCGTCCAGTGATTCGTCAGATGATTCAGGTGTTGCCTGTTTCTTCAGTTTTTAAATTTCTTGCCACCTGGAATTTCATCATTGAAACATCTCTTCCTGCCGGGTTTCCATGTTTCCTCACTGTTTAGGTTTTCCTGCCTTTTGACCTTTTTGTGCTTGTAAGAAGAATTTTTGAGCACTGTTTCTCGCGACTTTTTCTTTTTACTTCTTTTGCAACTTTTTTTTTGGTATAAGAGCCAAAGTAAGTATGTCAGCTGTGTTTCTTTTGGGTCTCGTACATCTTCATCAGAACTGCCTTTTATAGCGAAATCTCTTACATCATTGGAAGGAGCAAAATCATCACCACTAAACGGATCTAAGAGATTGAGAATTCCTTTCCTTTTTCATCGAAACTTCCACAGGCTACTGTCATCCTTTTTAAAGAAACTTCTGGATTCCCCTTGCGTCGGTTTTTGCTGTTGGCTTCTTCATAGCTTGACAGAAACTGGCTTGCATTTTACTCTGTAACTGCTTATATATTGCTTGAGGAGGGCGGAGCTAAATGAGGGGCATAAACACCATCTCAGATGACTAATTCCCATATTGGTGACAGGTAGAGACCTGGCTCGCGATTAAAATTGTTAGGTTGCTTATAGATTTCTATAGACTCTCGGATTTTTCGTGGTAGAAGAATTGATTACATGCAAGAATTTTATCGAATAAAATTTTATGCCCGGTTTTATGATTGCGTTCGGCAACTGCTGATGAGTTTATTAAACAAGAGAGTTGATAACCGATGATTTTTGGGCCGGATGGTGATGTGACGATGTATTACCTTAGTACACGCATACCAATATATGTGTGCGTAGGTTTTCTGTAACCACAATGATCCAATGTTAGGTCTGATTTTCTATTGATAAGAATATCTAAGAATGGGAGGTCGTTATGAGGCCAAATACACAGCCTTAATACAGAGCCGTGGAACTATCTTAGCCTGAGTCACAGAACCCAGAATTAAAACACCTTACCTCTGCTCTTCTCTCTAATAATTTCCACATTGAAGATATTATGCATTCCATCACAAAATACACTTCACCGCAACCTTCCAATAGCAATGAAACCCAAAGAAATCCCACACTGTTGTCCTTCCTTATATTCAAAACATTACTGATCACATATCAAAAGTTCTAAAGAATATAACGTCACATCACCTTCGATCCGTCAAAGACAAATATCCATTTGAGATGCCAGGAGTTTGCAGCATTCCATGCATGTGCGGCAAAGAATACATTGGAGAGACTGGACAAAAAGTATCAACTAGGCTTAAGAAACATGAAAGAGCCTTAAGACTAAGACAATCACGAAACCGGACATAAAATTTTCTTCGATGAAACTAAAATTTCTGCAAAGCAGGTACAGATTAAAATGCGAGCCAGTTTCAGTCAAGCTCTGAAGAAGCCAACAGAATGCCATGCAGCACGTTAGCTAGTTCGACTCGACAAAAACCGACGCAGTCCAGTAGCGACAGAGGTAAAATGATATTCTCTATAAAGAGCCTTCTTAAATGCACTACAAATGTCAAGTCTAACTGCTGAAGATGATCGAAATGTGGCTATCGCGAAACTAACCAAAAGGATGTGATCGAATGTAGTAAGTAGGTTTGGCGTGTTTTGCTACAAATAATAACCATTTACAAAATAACTAGGAATTGATCCAAAAATTCTTAGAACATACTTTCTATAGGCACCTACAGAGTTGCTGGCATTCTTCTAGGGGGATAAAAAACAAAGCATGGGAGGGTTATTATTCCCAGCGGCACTAATAGAAAAAACAATTATCCTTCCTCTTTCAGCGAAGATAGATTAAAGAAATATTTTAACTTCCACTATACGTCACGTAACTACACAACTGCCCTGACCGGGCTACACCTTATAAATGGACTGATAAATTACTCTAAATACGGTCACTAAACTTGGCATGAAACAAACAGCGAGTTTGCAACCACTACCAACTATCCAGTGTTATCTACTCTGGTTTTCTGTAACAAATAGCTTTCGCACGACAATTAATATTAATATTCTCAATGAACTGATAAGTGGAGTCTGCTGTATCCATTAAAAAGTCAGTAGATGTGTCGAAAAGTTTTCTTCCGACTAATCGAATAATTCTACACCAATTAACTGATCTATTTATCAAACCTAAACTAGACAATCGAAATTACGGACAAAGCAAAGGCTTTGTTCAAGTGCGTCAGAAAATACAAAATCCAGATCACACTAGAAATAGTTCTCTGGTACATAATCCCTTACTTGCTTATTTAAAAATATCTCCCAACAAGTGACAATGATATAATTTATTCGAAATTAACAAAAAGTTGCAAATTACATTAATTATCGTTGTGCTGTCTTTTATAATTTCAATCCAAGAAAATATCTCACGAGAACTTCTCAAATAGGGAACTGAAGAACTGTACACACAACAGACCATATTGCCCCAGAAATGTATTAACCATTCCGAGATGCCAGATGAATGGAAAATCTTACATATGAGTACTATTTATAAAAAAGGAGACAAAAATCAATGTGAGAACTATCGGGGTTCCAGCTCAGCAAATAGAGTATATGAAAATTACTACTAAGCTTTCTGTTGCAAGTGTTCGTCGAATCCTGCATGATCATTTAGGTATGCATAAGGTTAGTACAAAATGGGTTCCTATAAACCTTTCGGCTATTCAAAAACAACGCCGTGTCGAGAGTGCGCGGTCTTTTTTGGAACGCTGTAGGTCAGAACCGAAACCTGTGATAGAAACTATTGTGACGGGACATGAAACTATGGTTCTCTATTATGACCCTCTATCGAAAAAAGAATCAATGGAGTGGCGTCGTAAACGTGAAGCACCTCAAAGAAAATGCAGAGTCTGCCAGTCAACAAAAAAGATGATGGCCACGTTCTTCTGGGATTGTGAAATTGTGATTGTCAATGGTAATATTACACAATAAATTGCGAAACTGCATATGTGTAAAACGTCGAGGAAAACTGACCAGAGGCCTGCGTCTTTTGCACGATAATGCACCCGTCCATACTGCTGGTGTTGCCGAAGCTGCCATTTTAGAGTGTGGGTTCCAACAGATAGATCATCCTCCCTATAGTCCAGATATAGCCCCCAGCGACTATTATTTGTGTGGATATTTGAAAAAGGACATACGTGGGCGTCGGTTTAACGACGAAGAGGCTGTTTTAGCTCATTTTGCAGACGAACCAAAAGAATATTTTTTTAAAGCGATTGAGTTGTTAATATATAATATAATATTGAAGTTAAGGGGGATTATATTCAAAAATAATAAAAAAATTGTTACTCTACTTTGTTACTTTCATATTCAGGCTGGGAAATTTTAGCGCTGCCCTCGTATAAGCGATCAGTTAACCTGGTTTAGTCATCTGCAACGTATGTCTGAAGAGAGAATATCGAAACAAATTATAAATTGTAAACCAAGAGATAGAAGAAGACCAGGCACGCCAATATAGAGCTCAATTAAAGCTACAGAAAAAGAATAGAGAGACAGAACTAGAGAACGATTTGTGGAACGACAGAGAGAGATGTGGGAGGACGTTATAAACCGATATAACCTCCATGATTACGGACATATTGCATACTTACAAATTTTGCTTACTGATTATAATCTCCAGTCAGAGCAGTTATGCAGTAATAACGTAATCAAAAATGATCCGTTTGTCTTAAAGCTATATTGCCACCATTTTTATATGCGTTCCGGTTTTAATTAATTCATTAGTGAGAAGTAGGTACGTTCAGATATGCAATTCTAAAAACTAAATTAATTTTTTTTTGTCGGGGTTTTGCTACGTGAACATTAGTCATTGTGTTATGGTAGAACTTACTAGAAACATAGTCTTAAAACGGTCATTCGCAAAAATGCCATGTACTTAGGTACATATTATTATTTTGTTATAATATTATGGCAACAAAACGCATCAAATATATGAGAGAAAACAAATATCAATTAGATAGACTCATAACGCAAAGACCTAAGAAGGGGAACCAAAGCTACTCATCATCGGAAAAAATGTATTCCTCCGAGTCTGATTCATGCATATCAATAACAACTGGGAGAATATTAGATGTATCGATCAACTGACCAAATAATATCTCGGATTAAATTGGCAATGATGTTAACTTGACCGTTGTTAATAGATTATATTTTGAAACAATTTCATATTCAAAGAAAAATACTTAGGACTTATGCAGTTTTTCTGGCAAGTGTTGGTTCACTAATATCCATAGATGGTCTTTCATTAAACCTGGCTGAAATGGATTTTTTTTTCAGCTACCCGACGAAAGACTGCTTATCCAACTTTAATGAGGTATTGACTCAGCAACTCCACAGTGACAAGATATATTGTTCCTTATTATTAATCAGGGTAAAGTAAGATTGAACAACAGCTGTTGTCTGAACCACCTTTTAAAGTAAAAAGTAGTATTGAGGAAATGTTGAGTCTCTGTGGGTACAAAACTAAAATTTTTATCTCTGTTCATAGGTTATGTTACTTTTCCCATAAAAAGAAATATAAATGACCTTTCAAAATCTTCATTGAATCATGGTAGTCCACCGATTTTAAAATAAGAAAGAAACTTATGCACTGATCTTAGAAAAATATCTAATGCATCGGCATAACGCTACTATAAGACATAATAAGTAACTACCTAATTAATAACTTTCTTCTTCTTCTTCTTCAAGTTCATGTCTTCCCAGAATATTGGCGGTCAGTCGCATGAGCTTCACTTTGTCCGCAGCAGATCTAAACAATGTGGTGGTGCTTACTCCATACCACTGAAGAAGATTTTTGAGCCAAGACGTTCTTTGATAACCAGGGCCACGTTTTCCCTCTATTTTTCCTGGCATGATTACGTGAAGCAATTCATAATTTTTAAATTTCTCATTACGTGGGTAAAATACTCCAGCTTTCTTCTTTTAGTGGCATTAAGTACCTCTCTTTCTTTGTTCATTTCGAAAGCCTTAATCCTCTTGCACATTGTTCCAGTGATCGTCCATGCTTCCATACCGTAGAATAATATGCTAAAGACATGGCAACGTAATAAACGTATTCTTACGGGAATTCTTAAGGTTCTATCGGTTAACACATTTTTCATGTCCTTAAAAGATGTTCTTGCTTGCTCTATTCTGTTTTTGCTTTCTTGAATTGTGTCCCAGTTTTCATTCACCAATTTTCAGAAACTTAAATTGATCGTTCATAAAAATTAAGTAGTTTGAGTTATGGAGACTTTTATTGTTTACAGCGTTTAAGGGTAAAAGGGGTTTCTCAGCCTTTTTTCCTGGAGTGAAATAATCCATAAGTTTTACAATAAGGGATTGCTCTTGCTCTCTTTTACCAAATGATAGGGACATTTTGAAGCGACACATCCAGTAATGAACTAGATAATGATGTCATACTATGACGAAACTGTACAATTGCCCTTATATAGATAAAAAGTACGAGTAGAATTGAACTGAGGTGGCTTTTACTTGATGAAAATCCATTTATCAAAATAAATAAGAACTAAAAGTTCAGCTTTTCACGAAATTATATATTTTCACATGACAATTGTTTCGACATCAAGACAATACAGGTTGAAATGCGGATCATGTCCTAAAATTTATATTGGACAAACAGGTAGATCCTTCAAGAAACGCATTAACGAACATAAAAGAGCGTTTAAAAACAATAATCTAGATTCTAATTATGCTACACACTTAAACACAAAAAAACACATTTTTGAAGACAATTTTGATATTTTACATACAGCCACAAAAAGCAGAAAATTAAATTTATAAAATGAGACATTCAAATGTATTGCTTAACGATCAATGAGATTTAAATACCTCTCCTTTATTGAACTTAAATTCTCACAACAACAATAATTAAGGTTTTATGATCATTTTTCGGTATATATAGGAGCAGGTAATTTGTAAATATTATATTTGACAAAGACACGGTGTTGTCGAAACAATTGTCATGTCAAAATATATCATTACGTGAAAATCTGAACTTTTAGTTGTTGTTTACGAGTAGAATATTATTGGGGAGGAAGATGATTAGCTGAAATAGGTACTTTAAGTTTATTTGAAATGTAGATAGGTGCTACAGGTGGTATTAGGTATATCAGCAAGATTTGCGATGGTACTCTGCAGACGCCAACATGATGATTGACGAAACGTCAGCAAATTCATCTCAGCAAAAAAAGGACGCAGGAGGAATCCAGAAGTTTCACGTATTGATTCACGGATGGAAAAATGTGATATCATCCGTTCGTTTCTTGAACTCCGACTGGAATCCTGCAGACGTTTCGTCAAGATCTCACTTGGCATCTTAAATGCTCGCGCTCCTAAAACACTTCATTTTTTTTCGATCACATTTGCTTATGTGCGACGTATCGGTCGAAACAGGATCTGCATCTTACGACCCGGCAGCGGTAAAAAAAATGGCGGAAATCCCCGCGAAGACCTGCAGCTAAATTTAATTGCACGACATGTCCACACGTGTATTTCGAAAGATCTCTTGGCGTTGGAAATTCGGTCGTCTACAAAGCTCTTCGCGATAAACTTTAACCTACCAGTTGAACAAACGATAGTCGGACATTCGGTTGCAAAATAATCTGGCAGAATGAGAAACGTGTGTGCGTATTTTATGTTAATTCTTTTCGGTGTGGGTATTAGTGAAAGTACGCGCGTCGCGAGGTCAAAAAGACAGGCTACCAACGCCAGCAACGAGATCGACGACAATTTGATTATCGAAATTTTTAACAATTGCAAATGCGTGCTCCACTTTCAGTGCGACGCCGATAATTTTATTATCACCGGGGGACAAAGCTTGATTGAAGAAAGGTAAAGTCTGTTCATAGATATAAGAAAGTGACTAACTGATACGAATTAAGGAAAGACCCGGGCAAGCTGTACGAATGAAATATGATCGAACAGGTCCGTACTTTGCTTAGAATTTAATTAGTTGGGGTTTTGTTAGGAAAGATACTAAACAATATTTATTTATTTATGTATGTATTTATGTTTAAATCTAAAATAAAATTACAAATTATTTTTATTACCTACTTAAATTACTTAAAATTATTCACATAATATATCAGTATCACTATCGCTATGATCGCCTGTTCTAATTATTATTTGTTCTATATTATTTGCAATATGGATTTATACGATTGTTCTGATTTTTCTATATGTTTAACAGAATTTGTCCAACTTTGTGAAGGAATGTTAAAAACTTCGGTTTCTATAAGTTTGAGGACATGGCAGATTTCAGTTGGTGCCAAACATGTGCAATGGGATTAAATATGCAGTGGTAAGGTGGAAGCCTTAAAACTGTATACCCTACATTTTTTGCATAATTATCACAGACGTATTCCTTTTGTAGGTTCAAGCTTTGTAGAACCTCAATTAATTGCTTTTTGGCTTCGTGAAAATAAATGTCGTTATTATACATGTAGTTTTGGATTCTTGCTTTATGTCACATGAGGAAGGGGTTTAGGCAACTGTCTACTGTGATAACTTGCATTGTCCATTACAATGACGCTATTAGCAGGAATGTTTGGAACTAGTTTGTTTTTAAACCAACTTTCAAATAAATCAGCGGTGTTATCTTCATGGTAATCCAGAAAAGAATCTTCCAACCATCTTAAGACCATAGGCATACAACGAGAGCATTTGTGGAGAGGAGAATTAATGTATAGTAAGGACAACTCTCCTTTTTTTCTGCTAGTGTGCCGTTTTTATTTTCATGAAAGATATAGCCTTAACAGAAAAATTAAATATAACAAGTTTCAACTAAATATGGGAAAAACGACGAAATTTACAAACATGTCATTTTTCCTATTAAGTTCGAAAAGAGCAAATAACTAATCATTTTGGGAAAACAGATGTCATCTTCTTAAGTCATATTGCAAAAGTTGTATGGAAAACGTCCTTTTAAATTTCAAAATATATATTTTTAAATAAATTATTGCTGGTGCCTATCTATCAATCTATATAATAATAATAATAATAATAATCATCATCATCACAATAAAAATAAAAATGATAATATAATAATAGTAATAATAAAGGTCTTTATTTCATTAAGTAAATACACATTTTATAAGAAAGCAAAGTTCAGCATTGCAGAAATGCTGACTGTTCTTAAAATGCAGAATAATAAGTTAACATATCATGTGCCAACATGGGATATGAGCCTATGGACAATTATTTCATATTAGGTTGAACACCAACGGTCCAAATAAGAGAATCATTGTTTTGATAACAGATTTTTGTACAGCTGCCTCTTGAAGGCATATTTCGTCTATAATATTTCAAATTTATTTGGTAGATTGTTAAATACTTTTTTCACGCAATACGAATAGGATCACTTGAAAATATTTAGCCCTCTTTCGTTCATCTCTGGACCTAAACCTCCCCCACCCTTCTCTCTCTATCGCCCTGTTCATATATCTGGATCCAACACGCTTTTTCAAATCATCCGCTAATCTTATTTGTGGTCTTCCTCTATACAACTTTTATTTTGCCATGGTCCCCAGTTTATAATACTTTTATTCCGTCTGTCGTTTCTTGTGTGATGCTATGCTCTGCGCATTTCTATTTAGATTTCAGACTTACTTTGCGTTTTATTTCTTATCCATTAGTTTTATAACTCAAATGTGTTTTTGCAGTGATTTTTAGGTTTTAGATAATGACAGGATATCTTTCATTTTTTGCGCTGAAGCTCAATTCCCCAAATGCTGCCTATGTCAATCTAATTCACCCCCTGATTTCTGCTCTTTTTGGTTTTCTTTGTTGAGTTTAACTACTTCCTATTCTGATCCTGTATCCAATTCTTGGAGCATTTTCGGAAGTGCTTTTTTATCAGTTATCAAGGCGATGTCATCCTGGTATCTTGTCAAGTTCTTTCGACATATTTATATACCTTTTTTTTTGGGTCTGTTTTTTAAAAAACATTCCTTGGAGCCTGGTTAGCACGTTTAGGAGATGTATTAAAAAATTGCTTTATTTTGACTTTTACTTCAGAGCGGACAGTATCAAGCGGGTCATATGCAAGGGAGGGAACTATTCCGGACAGGTAGTATGTTGTAAATTAAGAGGAGATCCGGAGCTGAAGGAACCCAGCGTGGATACAACCACCACAACTACAACAGAAGGTACGACCGCAACCACCAAAGGAAGTGAAGCAACTAAAAAACCGAAAACGAGAAAATGCGGCACTCAGCTGCCTCTGATAAACGTAAGGATCTTTGCCGGAGAAGACGAATTAACCCCCGTCCACGGGGAATTTCCCTGGATGACAGCTATTTACACCACGACAAATGGCAATAAGTATGATTTCCATTGTACTGGTTCTCTGATTCATGGACAGGTGGTTCTTACAGCTAATCACTGTGTACGGCGGTAAGCAATCACATGAATAGAGGTAGCCCAACCTAGGCAAAGTGAAGCCCGAGAGATTTGCAGTGCTGACGTCATATTTTATTTACTGTATTGCGTTTTTTATTTCAACTCTTATTGTGTTATTATGGCGGCCAAGAAAATTTGGTACGAAGGGTAAACTCTTAACCAGCCAAGCTAGAGAAATAATGGATAACATATCGAGGTTTATGGAAAATGAAGCAAATAGAGATTTGCAAATTATAAAGTTAATTTTATCATTACAGTTAAAATATAAACGTATCATCAAACTGGGTAATGTAATTCGCATATAACAGTCTTGTGCCACCGCGGTATTTTTACAATGCATGGATGAACGCATCCATTTTGGTGTTTTTTTTTTCGAGCCATAAAAACTATGTAAGACAAAAATTCATTTACCTTTTATCAGGAGTATCGTTGCCATTAAGAAATTGTATACTATATTTGCTAACACATGTTCGCGGGGCAACTTTGATGAATTTAAATTTTTAAGACAAAACATTAAAAATATATCTTAGTAAGTTAAGTATCTTTATACCCGACATACATTTAAATAAAAATGTATCTTTTACTAGTATTTATATTATTACGGAAAATATCCGGTATTATTATTTTTCTCTTTAAAACAGCTAAAATCAATTTTTTGCATAACTCGTCTGACATTAATAATTCCAGAAACAAATATTCGGATGAAATTTGCGTATATTTACAATAAATAGATATAATTACCAAGAAATTAAGAAAGCAGTCTAACCCGCCACTGGCGGCAGTTGCATACCGAGGTTTTATGCCGCATCTGGCTGTACCTCTCCTAGGTTGGTTCTACTCTACTTACATATACCACGGATGTTGTTGATACCTTTTGAAATAAACATTTCAAAGTTAATTTTAATTCGGTTTATCTTTTTATTTTTAATAATTTTTGTTTACGTATTACTTCCAAATGGACCAGGAGTCTCACATTAAGTGACCAGTATATATTTCTCAAAACATGTAATAGAAATTTGAAATACAAAACTTCTTTGTATTTAATGGAATTTTTAGAATTTCAAAAACACACCACATAACCTTAAATATTTCCTAACCACCTATTTGGGTTTTATGAAAGGTACCTCTGTTTTATCAATAAAACCCAATAAAATATAAGGTGTTATTATAAACAAACAATACAAAAAAATTTAGTATTTAATTTTTTTTGATAACTATTACAGGATTGGAGAAGAGTACTTATATCGGTCACCTTATGTGTGTATATTTTTGCTACAAAAAAAAATTCACTAAAAATTTAAATTAAACTAATGATTGAATTTTGATGTGGAACAAAGTTGTTTATGGGTTTTTAAAAAAGAAAAAACAGTACTAATAATACAATAGTTGCCATATTTAATTTGGGAGAAACATCTCATAGGTACGTCATCATTTTAAAAACAAACATCAAACTTCCTGGCAATGCTGGCTAAAAATATTTGTTTACCGGTACTAAAAAAATAAACATCCATTATATAATATAAAGGGTGTTTTAAAAAACATGAATCAATTCATTCAAATAAAAAATGCTTAATTTCCAAGATATCAAACATTTATACAAAAAATTTTTTAAATATGTTTATATTATTATAAATCATTTTTGCAATGTCATTTGTAATAATAATACCGGGAGGTATATTTGGGTTATATATTTATATTCAGGAGGTTATAATAGGTTATTTATTCTGCATTCGCCACTAAAAATACTTTTTTGACTCATTAGTTGTTTAAGTATCTTTCCTGGTTTTCATAAATTTATTTTCATGAAATTTTATTTCTTGGATACTGTGGTCACAGTAAACTAATTAGTCACTATTTACAAATCACCTGGATTCCTCCTGCCTTGATTATGAATCGAAGTTTCGCCAATCATCGGCATCTGTTGATGAGTTTATTTTCAGCTTTTCACTATAGTTGATATTTTTCGTCTCTCTAATAATTCTTTGCCGCAGATGCATGGAATACTGTCAACTCCTGGTGACGCAAAAGAAGTTTTGCCTTTAACCGATGTTTTGAATGTAAGGACCACAGTGGTAACTATGGGATTCCGTTCGCACTCATTTTCTGTGGGAAGTTGTTGTTGTTTGTTGTTAATCACTTCTAATCGCCACGACTACATAAAGTAATTTGGCCAGCTTGCAAATTCAGGTAAATATAGACATTCCTAAAGGATTCCTTCGTAAAGAAAGGGTCTAGACTATTCTATCATCCTCCAGGTCTGTGAACGTATTTACACTTCTAAATAATTTGTCAAAAAATTACGACCAATTCATCTAACGGCTCCAGCAATTATCTCATACGGGATATCCGATCCCAACTGGCCTGGTTACCAGCGTGAATATAAAACATCCGGAAACCGAGCAATACACCGTACAAATCCATCGACATCCACACAAAACAAGCACTAATTCACAAAACTGTAGGCACTACGCCTCTAACAATCCAATTAAAAGATATGGCGAACAAATTTTTTGAAACGAGACAATTTTTCAACCGATTTCTAACTTTTTTCGGAACCAGGCTGGAACAATTCTACGTTTAATATAATAATAAATTATTTAAGTATTCCGGGTTGAGATAGTTCTAGGGCTGTGCAAACAAGAGAGTTAATAATCCATGACTTCTAGGTGATCTCATTAAATTCAATCAAATATCAACTAATTAGAACATCGTAATTCCTTCAAATTCATGTATATATGAAAACGCCTAGGCTTCTCAGTATATGTATGAATTTATGTTGAGAGTTTCAGCAATAAGAACTTAAGTAAAGAGGGACTCCACATCGAAATTAATTAATTAGTAGTAAATTAATTAGTAGTTTGTCCAGGAATTAAGTATTAAGTATGAAGTATTAGTTTTCTTGTGAAGGGTTTTAATATAAAAGCTAGGTATTTTGCGAAAAAATACGTTGCTGAAACAGTTTCAGTCAAGCTCTAAAGAAGCGAACAGGATGATTGGCGAAACGTCAGCAATTTCGACTAAGCAACAACCGACGCAGGAAAAATCCAGAAGTTTTGTAAAAAGCATTACAGTAGCCTTTGAAAAATTTAAAATATATACCATTACTTTTTTTGTGCGGCATTAAATTAATCATTACATTAGATACACAAGATATTTTGGCTAGTTTCGATGTCGAATTCCTCTTCAATAAAGTTCCTATTAATGAAACTCTCACCAACATTTCAGATATATTAAAATCCGAGAATCTGGAACCAAACCTTCTCACCTTAATTGAAAAATGCTTGTCTGGAACATATTTTTCTTATAACGGTCAAATTTTTGAACAAACGTCGGGAACAGCTATGGGTTCCCTATTATCACCAGTTAACGCGAAAATATTTATGGAATTATGCAAACGCTACGCCGATGATACTTTTATTATTTGGCTTCATGGTCAAGAATCCCTACTAGATTTTCTTAGACATTTAAACTCTATACAACCTCCCATTCTTAGATATTCTTATCAATAGAAAATCAGACCTAACATTAGGTCATTGTATTTACAAAAAACCTACTCACGGACCGATACCTTAATACATTTGGTTTACAGAGCCGTAAAACTATATCAGCCGGAGTTACTGAACCCAAAATTAAAACACCTTACCTCTGCTCTTATGTCTAATAATTTCCACATTAAAGATATTAAGCGTTCCATCACAAAATACACTTCATCACAACCTTGCAATAGCAATGAAGCTGAGTAATCCCACACTTGCCACTGTTGTCCTTCCTTACATTCAAAACATCACTGATCACATATCAAAAGTTCTAAAGAAATATAACGTCAAAGCCAGATGTACCAGTTGTCCAACAACTTCGATCCGTCAAAGACAAAAGTCCATTTGAGATGCCAGGAGTTTACAGCATTCCATGCACATGCGGCAAAGAATACATTGGAGAGACCGGACGAAAAATATCAACAAGGCACAAAGAACATGAAAGAGCCTTAGAACTAAGACAAATAAAATCGCACATAAAATTTTATTAGATAAAACAAAAATTCTTGCATGTAATCAATTCTTCTACCAACGAAAAATCCGAGAGGCTATAGAAACCTATAAGCAACCTAACAATCTTATCCACGTCACCAATATGGGAAACCGTCAATCGAGCCGGTGTTTATGCCCATCGTTTAGCTCCGCCCCCCTCGAACAATATAAAAGCAGGTACAGAGTAAAATGCGAGCCAGTTTCAGTCAAGCTCTGAAGAAGCCAATGGGATGATTGGCGAAACGTTAACAAAAACCGACGATGGAGGAATCCAGAAGTTTTATAAAAAGTTTCTTTGAAAAAAAAATTAATAAAATACGTTATGACGTAAGGATTTTCGTTTTTTATTAATACCCTGTCTCTTGAAAGCCGAGCATTTCCGCTATGTTTATATGAACTTTATTTACATGCTTGAAACGCCCGGTATACTTACCTCTTTAAAATTTTTCAAATTTTTATCGTAAGAAAAAACGACCTTTCAGATTTAAAGCGTCGGATGTGACAGTTATCTTAAACAGCCAAATCGAGTTGCTCAATGTTGGCGAAAACCCGGAAATGCAGAGGAACGTCAAGGAAATCATCACACATCCGGAATATAATTCGGGTGCCCTTTACAATGACATAGCCCTAATGGTCTTGGACGTGCCGTACGATGTTAATAACAAATCGGTCCCGATTAACACGCTCTGCGTAAATCGCAACACTCCGTTCGAAAACTTGAAATGTTTGGTAGCGGGCTGGGGCAAGAAACCACCCATGATCGGCCGTAAGTGTTTTATAAAAGGAGTTTGGCTACAGCCTTGGACGTTTACCGCATCCCAACCTCCACGCGTCTCGATCGCTGTATATATCCTCTGTGAGACATCTCTTTTGCATAGCTCCATCAATTCCTGCCTTCCAGCTTTTCCGTGGTCTGCGTCTTTTCCTTCTTTGTGGTGGCCTCCACTCATATTTCTTTTGGGTATCATCTGTTCATAGATATAAGAAAGTGAGCAATTGCTTTTGACTGGGATTATCCAAGGGTGGTCATTAACATACAATGCAACAAGATTATTACCTAAAGTTTCTGAATTTAAATTCAGGTAAAATTGTGGTCCGTAATAGAAAATAATTTTATACCTACATGTGTTTAATATTCTTTGGTTTGGTATACTACTTAGTTTAGGTTTATTAGTAATCGTTCTTATTTCATGTGTAATACAACGTGTGTTGAACTACACATGAAATATTTGCGAGTCTAGTGTATCTCAGGAGATGCTCCCGCCCAAATGTAGAAAACACTATTCTATTGAGACTAAGGAAGTTATAAACAATGTTTATTTGACTCTCATTGAACGTGGTGCCAGCAAGCAAGCATCTTTAGAAGAAACAGCCACATGGACGAAAATTCCAACATCAACTGTATGGAAAATTGTGAATAATCCCATTTCAGCGAGGAAAAAAAGAAGCGATGCTGACATTTTCTCGAGTGTAGATGAAATATCAAAATCAAATCAAATCAAAATATAATAAGGTTTCAAATTTACCAGTTATACGAGGAACAAGGCGTGCGTGGCTTGAAAAAGATGAAACCGGTACGGCAGAATTACCTTATGGAAGTGTATTCAACACATGGACTTTAGATTTAAAACAATTGACAAAAGGCAAGTTTCAATGGAATCTTTTAAATTCGGAAATGCCGACTGGAATATCTAGAAAAAATTAGGATTTACAGAGAACAACAAAGGCCAATTATTTACTTCGATGAAACCTGGTTCAACACTTATGATACCCCGGAAAAGGGTTGGGTTGACTCAACTGATAAGTGTAAAACAAACGCGCCATCAAAAAGAGGTAAAAGAATAACTAACTATTTTGCATGCTGGCTATAAAGAGGGTTGGATTCCAAATGGACTTTCTCTGTCTGCGAAAAATATTAAAGATTCTTCTCTGAATTACCATGAACACACCACCGCTGATTTATTTGAACGTTGATTTAAAAACAAACATTCCTCTTAATAGCGTCATTGTAATGGACAATGCAAGTTATCGCCTTCCTCATGTGACACAAAAGCAACAATTCAAAACTACATGTATAATAAGGACATTTATTTTCATGAAGATTTAATTTAATTTAGAGCATTTAATTTATAATTATGCAAAAAATCTAGGGCATACAGTTTTAAGGCTTCCACCTTACCACTGTATATTTAATCCCATTGAACATGTTTGGCACCAACTGTACTATACTATACTATTTAGTATCTTTCCTAACAAAACCCCAAATAATTAAATTCTAAGCAAAGTACAGACCTGTTCGGCCATATTTTATTCTTAGAGCTTGCCTGGGTCTTTCCTTAATTCGTATCAGTTAATCACTTTCTTATATCTATGAATAGACTTTATTCTGTCTTCGCTCATTCGACTCATTAGACCACATTAGTTGTTTTTCTTCAAATAGTATCTAATAGTCTCTTTTCTGCATTCATTCTTGTCCATTAATGTGGTTTTACAGCACCTTCTCATTCTGTAGAAGCTACCTTTTCTTTCATAGCTTGTGACATTTTCCAAACCTCTCACCCATACGTAATTGTACTTTGTACAGGGTGGTCCAAATTTGACGGGTCTCTATGGCTTTAAGCATTGGCAGCATAGCTGGTCCAAATGCATGTTTCGGGCTCGATTTTCGAGAGAAGTCGAAAACTGAAAACCGCATCGTGATATGTCAAACCGTTTCTGAGCTACACCCGCTATAACTTTTTCATTTATAAAGATAGAGATTTTTATTAAAAACATTTTTTGAAGATTTTTTGAGGGCAAATCTACCTGTTTCGCCGATTTTGTCTTAAAGCCTTTAATTCAAATGATGTGCCATACACCCATTTTTATTAAGTAGTTAAAAAGATATCTGCAATTTCTAATAATTACCATAGTGGGCTGTGCTTGACTCTCACCTATGTAGTTTTACGGTATCTATCTAGGTAGCTATGATCAGATAAAAACAATTGCCATGTGTCAGCCCAAGCCCAAGTGTCAAAACTGCCGTCTTCGTCAAGCTGTAAAGATGTTTGAAAACTTTGAAGACTACGCCATGATAAAACGTTATATTGAAAGTAACGAAAATCGACAGACGGCGTTAAATCTATATTTTCAGAGATATCCGTAAAGAAGGCAACCTTGCTCAAATATATTTTTGAAGTTAAAACGTCATCTACAAGAATACGGATGCTTTACAAAACCGCGGTCTAGGACGTATAGAAGCCTATTCAGAGATAGAGAGTTGGGAAAACTAACGATTTTGGGAGAAATAGAAATTAACCCATTTTGCTCCAAGACGCGCACTTTGCAGGTGGTACCTAAAGACTAGAAGACTAGAAGACTACGATTTTGCCAGGAAAGTTATTTCTAGAGATGGAATATTCACCAACTATAACTGCTATAACTGGAAATAGGAAAATCTCCAAACTATGGTGGAACAAGCGAATCAGGGAAGCTTCAGTTTTAAGGCATCTACAGAGGACAAATTATTGGACCATATATTTTTGATAGAAATTGAAATGCCGAAAGAAACGAACAAATTCTAGAAGAGCACAATGCAAGAGACATTACTAATTTGCTAAATAATGTGTTTGCCGAAAACTGGATAGGAAATAAAGGTCCTATATATTGGCTCCCCAGGTCTCCAGACCTGACCCCTTGCGACTTCTTTTTGTGGTAGAAAATCAAAGACCTTGTATTTCGAAATCGTCCAACTACTAGAAGGGAAGTGGAAGAGGCACTTCGTACGGTGGAACTTCTTAATGCAGAAAATAACGTCAAGAGAAGATGTAGTATATGTTTACAAGAAAACGGCCGTCAACTTGAGCATTTGTTTTAGAATTAAAGAAACTTGATGTAAATTTTAAGTGTTACATAGTATAATTAATAAAAATTTTAAATAAAAAAATTGCTTTTAATAATTTTATTATTTTAGGGTTGGTAATTATTGTCAACTAGAGGTTAAAGTGCGAGGTTGTTGTGTCCCCTCGTGTCGTAGCTAACTTGATTTTGTATGAAGAAAAAAACAATAAAATTTTATCTACACATTTAGGGTGCGTACAGCGCCTACTATTGTAAATATGAAAAATTGCAAATATCTTTTAAACTATTTAATAAAAATAGCTGTATGGCACATGGTTCGAAAGGAAATTTTATTAGAAAACTGATATTTTAGAAAAATTGGGGGTATCCCATTTAAAGAAATATAACTTTGTGCGACATCTCGGGAACTAAAGGCTCTAAGACAAAACGGGTAAAATAGAGGAATTAAACATTCTCCTCTTAATTTTTTGGGAAATTAGGTCATTCCATAACACTGGGTGTAATTGGCATATAACAATTTTTCCTTTATTAATTTTGTTTTGTATGTCCACTTCGTCTATTCCGTCCGATGTTATAGTCACTTTCTAAGTACTTATGCTGGTTTGTCTGTTAATTAGTGTTTTATTTTCGGTCGTTATTATCGGTAAGCTTTTTTTTTAGAAACGCAAATATTAAAAAAAGTGGAGCTACCGACAATTGAACACGCCCAATGTCAAAATTTATTGAGGGGTACTAGATTGGGTCCGTATTTCATTCTAGACGAATCTTTCATGTGCGCTGGGGGAGAACATGGAAAAGATGCTTGTAAAGGTAATTTACCAAGTGTTTCATAGTTTCATATAATAACTGCCAGGGGTCCCAATCGAAGTTCTTAAATTTTAAATTCCGTTTTTTTCTTTTTAAATAATCTTATATTGCAGTCCGAACTTTTGCGGAGGTAAATGTCAATAACTTCAAAAAGGCTGAACCCATTTAGTCGAACTTGGAGTTGTTTAAAAGGGTTCTTCGCAGCCACGAGCAGTCAGAGACATTAAAACTTAAAATAATGTCGAATTTTAGGAAAACATATTAATTAATTAAATTTAATTTACAGGGTTATTCGTGGTTAGTGTACTATTAGTGTATGGTTTACGGTAAAAACCTGAAATGTTGATTACTTGTGTGGGCGAAATATTTTCGGCCATGCGGTGTTGCCAGGTATACCTGTAACATATAACAACTTTCGTTTTTTAAGGGAAGACATTTTTAGATTCTTCCAACCATTTTGAAACTTTTTTATGTAACATGTACCATACTTATCTTGAATATTTTGGGAGAAAAAAAATCCTTTTTTTATATTGGCAAAAGTAGCAAATTAAATTTATTTACCATTTATTTTCACTGGTTTTCGAATTATAAACAAAAAATCATGCTGGGCCATGCTGACGTTTCCTGCAAAACAAAATAACTGATTTCTCACTTTATCGCATTTTCATGGTCAAAACTTGCTTTTGTTTTACATTTATGGTGAATGTCAAAGAAAGAGAAAGTTTAAAAGAATTGAAGCAAATTTTCGAATCCTACGAACTTCCAAAACCTGTTAAAAACCCCGAAAAAAATGAAACCAACGTTTTAGCATATTTTCACGCATTTCCACATGTGTCTATTCCGCGCTAAAGATGGTTTAGGCATATCTTATTCGTCCATTCAACGGATACTGAACAAACATAATATGCATAATTACATTACAACCTCTTGTGAGATGATATTGGTTAGAATACAAGATCAAGATTAGTTTTAGATTTTGATGGAGCTCCGGCTCATTGTACAAATAGAGTCAAGTCAAGAACTTACAATCTTGTTTGAAAACCGACGGATAAGGCATCTAGGTCCATGGAATTGGCCACCGCGTACGCCAGATATTACACTGGTTGATGCCTACCTTTGGGACGCTATTAAAGAAAGAGTGTATAAGACTCCAGTTGGAGGTCATGTCAAGCATAATATCTAGTCGTATGTAATTAAAAACAATTTAAAACAGTTTATAAGTCTTTAACATTAACTTTGTGTATAACAGTTTCTATATTAAATTTTGGGTGGCATATGTATTACCTTTCAATTTCACTGTTAGAACTACTCATTTGAACAAGCTACTAACGGAATAATAAGATGATTTATGTCAAAGATAAATTTGTTTATAAAAAACGTCACCGTGGCCGGCCAGAGCCTGCTACCCTTTAATTGCAATATTTTGGTTTTTTGCTTGTAACTGGAAGACCACAGTTTGATACTTTGATATGGCAAATTAATTGTTCATTTACGTACCAATATAAAATATGGAGAGTTAAATTTAAAATTCCCACGTAACAGTGATTTTTGTATCTTGCCAAATTTTATTTGAAAAAGTAATGCGCCCTTTAACGACACAAGCAATCGAGTTCAATTAAAATAGTAGCAGAGTTTCTGGCCTCAACTTTGATAAGAGCGTTCAGCCATCCACTTTATATTTCAGCTATCGTTAATAAGATTAGTTCCCTTAAAAAACAAAGGGACTTAAAATTCAAAGACGTGATTGCGCCCTCTGGTGGTCATTATTGGAAACTTACAAATAATTTCCAGCGGCCGCTTTAGTTAAGTTTTTTCACGATGGGTTCCCTTACATACACAATTACTTCTGGGTTTTCAGGTGACGGTGGTAGCCCTTTGATGTGCCCATCATCTAGCGGAAACAGTATGTTTCAAGTAGGAATCGTCTCATGGGGAATAGGGTGTGGCACCAAAAATGTACCGGGAGTTTACACCAACGTTGCCAAGTTTCACAGCTGGATTAAGAACGAATTGCAAAATAGAAACATTGCATTCTAGTCAATTTTACCTTTAAGTGGTTCAGTTTTGTATTTTTCTTTTTTAAAAGTCATCGAATCTTGATAAATTTTTCATTTCTGTATTTAATTCCTGCTAATGTTTACGTACACAACTGCTAAACTATTTTGTTACTGAATTGTTTATTAATTAACTATTATGTTTGATGTTTATAAAGATATTTGTTTTCATAGGCTATATTGTTGATTTTTGCAATCTAAATTGTAGTACTTACCATGGCAAACTCAAGTTTCTAAAGTTATACCTTCCAACAGCGCAATTTGGATATTCATTTAAAATTATATTCATTTTACTGGAATTTTATTAAAATGAAAAATTCATATCAACAAAATTGCACACTAACAAAAAGTATATTTCTAACTGATGATGTCTGTGTCACTAAACAAATCCAAAAAAGTAAATAACACCATTAACCAACACATTGGAGCTCTATGTCGCTTTCAACACGCCCTCAACTTTTTCATCAATTCTTCAATGACAAAATTGGCAATAGCCATCGCACTCGTCGCTGCCGGACTAGGGGCAAACTTTACATTTATTATTCTGCTGGTTATTCCATTGCCTTCGAAAACGTCAATGAGGAAATCATCCACAAAAGTTCCATCACCCTTCAAGGCTTGACACTGAATAGCGATGGGACCCTCTCGGACAAATTGGTATGAAAAATTCGGAATTAATTGCTGAAGTTCCTTTATCTTTAAATACGAAGTTGAGGAAATCAAAAAAAAGTTATTCCAAAGTACCTGTATATCCGGGAAAACGACTTTCGCCACTTGGTCGACACACTTGGAAAAGTTCCGCAAGACCATATTGCGAAAACCGCAAGACAGGGTCAAGTCCTTAAGGTAGTCTAAATTTAATTCGTTACATCTACAAATTGAAAACTACAAAACCACACGGCGGTTATGTACTCTCGCTTAAACTACTTATAGCCTTCGAGTTTCAATGCCGGGACTGCCGAAGGACCCAACAAAACGTTCCCATCCGGGTGAGGGCTAAAATGAGCTCCCAAAAATGGTAATGTTAAGTCCGGCACCGGATACACGTTGGTCGCTAAGTTGCCGCAAAACTCGGCTTTTAAAAGCTTGTAATTCACTCTTAACGACAGAAATTTTAGATGTGATTTTGGGCCATAAAGGTTAGTCAGAGTTTCCGATTGCAACCCGCCACAGATAACAATGTACTTAGCTTTTATAATTTGATTATTATCAACGCCAATTACGGATATGGGATACTCGGTATTTTCACCGCAATATTGAATATCCTCAACCTGAAATTTAATTGTTTTAAGCAAATCAGTGCAGAGAAGTAACGATAATAACGATATAGGGGAGCATACACAACTATATTATATTGGTTGTAGGGGAGTTCGTTGGTTAGCTCAGCTGAGTGGGTAACAGAATACCAAGTCTTCTATTGCTGGCGGCATCTATCGGCAAGGCTGGGTATTAAAATCAAAAGAAGATTAACGGGTCAATATTTTGGGTTTCACAAAGAGGTTTAGAAGTTTGTAATGGTAAATAGTTGTAGAGGCTTTAATTCAGAATAGTTTGTTATGCAAACTGTGCAGTTGACTAGGCATGTACCTTTAGAGTGATAAAAGCTTGGGATAACTTTTTGGCCACTCTCCGCAAATGAAAGCTCAAAGGGAGTGACATTTAGGTACACGACAGTAATGCTCTGCCATCACAAAAACTTAATTTCCACTAATTTAGAAGGAAAAACCATAAATATTTTTTAACGTTTTTTCATCACATTTGTTAATTAAAAATATATATTTTTTTCAAACCTACATTTCACGCAGGCAAATAGAGGCTCGTGGACCATGGAAGCTTTAGATCAGTGTCTGCTGTAAAACTGAGAAAAGAATTAAGACAAAGCGCTAGAAAATTTTGGAAATAGATATTTTAACAATAACTCAAAATTTATTTAAACCTCTTCTTGGTCGGAACAAACCCATTTTTAATTATGAATTATTTGGCAAAAATGTTTCATGGTTAATGCATCGACTTAAGAAAATTTATGTTTGAATAAGCTGAACAAACTATCCCCCATTGAGTTAATATAATGAAAAGATGACGGGAAAAGGCTGGTTTCATGCTTTTATGGAGGTATTCTCATACGTTAGTTTTAATAAATCAGAGGGAACAAGTTTAGACTTTACGTTTAAGTTGGATTTATCGCCTGTATAATACGGACAAGAGAGGTATTAATAATTGGTCCAAAACGAGTCAAACAAAGTATTACTGTGTGCGCCAACATCAGTACATCAGGGTCTTTTATTCCTCCAATGCTTATATACCCTAGGACTAGGATATCTGATCAGCTAAAAAGCAATGGTAGAGTAGATTCAAAATACTGCTTTTTGAAAGTGCGGATAGCAGATGACGTATTTGTCGAGTGACTTCATCATTTTAATCCTGTTCTCTATGATCATGCCATGACTCCCTACCAGCTTACAACTTCTGCTATTGGAATGGAATTACTGTAGCATCTTTCCCACTTTACCAGTCACAAGCTCTCCAACACTGTATTCGGGCCGCATATACAAATAAAGGTTATAATTTTATGAGAATTTGATGAGAATTTAGTATCTGATGACAATGAGGAAGTGGAGGAATATGTACTGATGTAGTTTAGCCTGAAGATGATACCATGAGAGTTATTAATTTTCAAACAAGCGAAAGATCCTGCCCAGAAACTAGAAAAATGTCCTCTTTAAAGCACTGTCACCAATATAACTCAAACACCAAGAAAACAGGCACCAGAGATGCAAAAAAACTCGATATTCTACGATCATTAAGTTTTAACAAGTATACAAGAGAAAACAGTTGAAAAATGAAGAAAAATGCAGATAAAGAAAAAATATTATAATTAGGAAGTGGAAAGCTAAATTGAATGTAAGATGTGTGCAAAAAGTTGAAAAGAAAGTGTTTGGAGAATCTAGTTCATTTTTTCTTTAATGAAGTTCATTACCATTGATTTAAAAAAAAAGATACATATATTGTTTCAGTCTTAAGCTTACGCCCGGGTCTCCCCTACTTTGTCTAAGAACCAACGACTATTTAAATAACGTACTTCAAAATTATATACGATAAATCCTCCCAACTCAAGAAAATCATTGCCGAAGCTGTTGGTGATATCACCAAAGTTAACGTTGGCTGTGTTTGGACTCCATAGTGCTTGCACTCCACAGCACCCGGAGCAAATTTTCCTAACGTCTGATAAGGATGTTAGAATTTCTAAGCTTGTTACCTCAAACATGCAATAACACTTCATTGTTTCTATAAATAAAAAAACAAAATAGTTACATTGTTTTTCACCCCTCTTTCATACAAAAATTTCAATATGTTACTCTCCGTGCAGTCCTTGGCCAGTACAAGTTTCCCATTTTTCCTATACTGTATGTTTTTTTCGTTGCAATACTTCTCCAGTAACTTGGCTCCCTCGACGCAAAACCTCGCCTTTAAACTACCTGGATTGTAGTATACTCCGCTATGCACCACCCCGCTGTTATGGCTACTCTGGTGTCTTGCCAGCCTACATTCCTTTTCCAATAGTAAAACCTCAACATTTTTACGTAATTCTTTCAACCGTCTTGCAATGGAAGTGCCGATTATACCGCCACCTATTATGACGACATTTGCGCATGTCGTGGCACCTGAAGCAACATCTAAACTTCGTTTAAATTCACTTATTGGCATTTTATACTTACACATGTTATCCGATTAGAGGTATAATTGAATAAATAAATAAAACACTATTAAATGGCTACCTACCTAGACGTCAATGTCTAATTGGAAATGGTGATGTCATAGTTGCAGTTGAGAAAAACAAAACCATTCTTTTCTTTATTGTTTCTCTAAGCACATTTGGGGGTGGGTATTCTGTTTTTTTTTTGTAGCTCCAGAAACTTAATAATTATTTTTTGTTGTATTGATATATTGCGTCATTGTAATTGGATTTCGTCCGTCGATAAATAAACATTTCCGATTTGTTTTTGGAGTATAACTCAGGCGAGAGAAAAGTAAAAATGTGTTTGAGGCATCATGTTAATTAGAATATTAATTCGAGTGACAAAATGTATGCCTCAATTGTTTTTTGAAACCTCAAATTCAACACACTACCGAGCAAGGTCAAATTATATGCGCGAGATAAAACAGCACAGCATTTCAGTTATGAATTTATTTAAAATCAAGTTCACATCTTTCAGCTCGCAGATGGACAGGATTTACATTTGAGCATGTATAAAAACTTTTTGAACGTTCAATCTTTGCTTTAGGAAAACGTAAACGGTCGATCAAAAGTCCACATTTATGTGTTTAAAACGCGATTAAAATATTTTTATTTTAAAGAGCGATGCTCATACAAAGAAATGTAGTAAATCAGATACAGAGGCCCTTTGGTTTAAACCCATTAGAATATTTTCGCATATTCAAATCAACAAATACATTTCTAAAAAAAAAATCATTCACAAAGTTATCGATTTGGGTATACAAAAATGTTCAAATATTTTAAGCAAACAATCTCAACAAGCTTTTTAAATCTTTTAATGAGAACTTTCAGATTGTCCAACCACAAATAAACTGGTAATTGACCAAATGGCGTATAAACTATATCCAAAATAAATGAAGTGGTGCTGTAATATTTGCCTAAATCAACAAATAAATTATTTAAAAGCTAAAAACCACAACAACGATATCAAATAATAACATCATAAAATAGAAAACAATCATATTGGAATGTCATTTATAGAAATGTCATGTCGTGCCTCAGTTTGGCGAGAAAAAATGTGAAAAGCAAGTCAAAATTCTGCGTCACAACAGCTCCAATATACTTAATAAATGACGTATATTTCACAGTTATTAATATTAGAGTAAATGGTAGTGTTTAGCCAAAATATATTGTTTCTTACATACTAAATCACATTGAACTTTGATATTTTTAATGAATAATTGTAATAAAAGTTCTATACATAAGTACCTATTTGCTAATACGAAGTAGATAAATATTAACATTGGTGCAAGAATTTAGATAGTGTTGTCCTACTTGTACATATGTAAAAGTCTAAACACAAATTTGTTATAAGGGTTAAAAAATTCGTACCATTGCATGTGGCAAAAATGTTGAAATTTGCTTGAGTAATAATGTTGTTCTATACCAACAATATAAATAAAAACTTTTAAAAATATATCGAAGGATAAGAAATATACACATCCTGAGATTTTTGTTTGGGTTTTAGGAAGATATTGGATATTTCTAAGATTGACTTAGGGGTGAAGTAAATGTAACAATTGCATTTTTTGCGTTGCATCAAGCATTTTCATGGTTCAAAATTGTACAAGGCAATCTTAAAATTTTGTTGTTTTTCTATATCTTAAAAGAAATGGCAATTAAGATGTGAAATACTCCTGAGTTAACCTAACTTTTGTATAGATAATTTTGTCCCAAAGCAGGATTTTTATTAGTTTAGATGATTACGTTGTTTTATCTATAAAGATTAAAGCATAAAAATTTTGTTATATTACTTTTACAATAGTTCTGTATATAGCGACCTCAAGAAAATTACTTACAATAAAAACATTTAAATGTTAAAATTTTACACTTTCTTAATTCACAGCATTGTTTAAATACTTCAGTTTTTGACTTACTTTAAAGCTATTCTGATAAATAGCCATGTAATATTATAAAGTGAATAATATGCCTGATAAATATAAATTAAGTCAAAATAAATCTATATATACAAAACTTAAATAGCAGTAAAGTATTTACAGGTTAACAAATATCAACAGAATCAAATAAATTATTGAATGACTAGCTATATAATTAAATATTATCTTTCAGTCAGAGCAATACCATGTTTGTAAATTACAAGATCCTTATTTCTGAAGTCTAAATATGCCGTTAGATGGAAAGCCATATTAGAAAGCACCACAACATACTCAGAAAATGCGAAAAAGGAGTATACTAAAAAAAAAATACCATTGTGATTATAAATACTAGATTATGCTCATATTTGTTATATAACTAACAGTGTTCACATTTATCACAATAATTTGACCAAATCTACTTACCATAAGGTTCACACATAGAATTGTGCCTCATAAAAAAGTACACTGCAGCCATGATAAACAACACGTTTGTGACTAGACATCTTTGTTTCCACTTAAGGCTAATTCGGTGAGATTTTTTGTAACGTTTTTGCAAAATACATATTAAAATCATGTAAACTTCCGATACTAATATGAAAGTAATAAATGCCTTCTCGTGAATCACTGAAAAACAACTTGCGTTAATCAAACTGAATTAGAGATTATCATAGCAATTACCATAAAATTTCGATGATGTAAAAAATGACAATGTTATTAGAGCTAAATTCTCTATAATATTAAGCACACATGCAATGTAACCAATCCATATGTCCTTTGGAGGTAAAACATTATGATGATGGTTTAAATATTCAATAGCCACATAGATTCTAGGCAGTGCTTGTAATGCAATTGCACTCTGCCAAATTTCTCGCTGGGGAGAAAAATTCCCAATGGCAGCAGAAATTGAAGGTAAAATATTATAAACCTGGCAGTGCGTATAAGTCGAGCTTTCAAAATTAAATAATACTGAGTAAGATACACAAAACAAAAACGCCACTAAAGGAAAACAAACCACTAGTATAAGTATTCTTTCAAAAGGTAAACGGATATACGGTGGGACTTCAAATTCACTATAGAGTAAACCATAACGGGTACTACTTGACATTATTTTTTAGAAAATCCTTTATAGAAGATCCTCAATAAGCAATTGGAAACTGAAAATACATCTTTTGCTCAAAATTACATTAGGTTAGAAATGAAGTGACAATTTCATCCAATGAATTTCACAGAACCATGAATGTGCACAGACCCTCACCCGGTACGATGAAAATAATTTACTCTGTATCAAATTCGTTAGGGTCATTCGGCCAGTTTAGGGAAACACGTATGAATAATTTGCTAATGGGGACATTGTAAAATCATTTTAATGATTGTGATATATTTTAACTATTACTAGCGGCCTTTTGAAATTGTAAAATTTGTTTCTCTAGTTACTATTTCACACATGGATCTTTCGCCGAAACGATATATCTTATTCAATGGGCACCTTTCAAGGGACACTCGCCCAAACCGATTGCTCTATCGCTTATAAAGTAATTGCCAATATTTTCATCTCGAATGTCATTTATACATGTACATAATTTATAAAAAAACATTTATCGTTATAATAAATAGTAATTGTTATACGGATAGATTTAAGCAATTACATATTTTTCATAAATTTTCTTTACAACTCGATCTACTAGGAAGTTTTTAAAGAGAAATCTTGTTAGGAAGCACGTATTTCGTATTCGCAACATTTTAACCAACTATATCTCCTATATCCTATAGCAAGCCAACGATGGCAGTCGAATTTGCATTATGCCCTGTATATGCTATTAGCAAAATATGAGGATATTATTCTATTGCAGTTTATTCGAATTAATATCTCGTCAAAATATTTGTAAAAATTTAAGATTTGATTTCTTTAATATATATAGTTTACAGTCAGAGATAATTATAAAATAATTTTGAATTAGCATTTTGCTAATAACTGAGCCGTGACTAAATTTACTGTCATGGCCCGTCTAATGATCGGATGCAAATATAAAAGAACGCATGTATCAAAATTATTGTCTGATATTTCGCCCTAGCGATATGTTCGTTTATTTTTTGTTTTTGTGTTTCGCGTTTTCGAACGAAATTTATCAAGCTTCAGGTTGTGTAAGTGAACGAGTCATATTTTAAAAGACAAGTTTTCCGATAGCTGATTTTCTTTCAGAACGGATACAGATTGAATCTTACCAGCATCAAAAATTGCATTGATGATGGTGTCATCCAAGTGTCCGACGATTTTGGAATTGCCTTTGACAAAACTTGCGATTTATATTTGATCGGATGTCTTGATATTATCAAGACTTTTAAAACTGCCAAGGTAGAGAACCATGTTTTTAATACAGAGTGTGCCACCAATCCAACTTAGAAGATTTGGTATATGCTCTCAAATTTTAATTGTTGACAGATGACATTATTAAAAATAACATTTGTCTTAGCAGAGATATTTTTATGTTCCCCAACTTTTTGTATGGAATTAATATATTTTGAAAAAAATTAAAATTGAATTTCCAAAAATATAGCTGGCGTGCTCTTCGATATATAGGGTTCCTAAAAGTTTACCAATTTTGAACAACTGTTTTATGCAACAATATATCCAATGTGTTTTATTTTTATAAATGTAATTTCAAGTTCTTTCTAACGATTCAAAAACATACAAGATGTATTTAAAAATATTTTTCTGTGGATAACAATTAAACCGTTAGTTTAATTGATTAGTTAGTTTTGCAAAAGTTATACTTAAACCATTAAATTCTACGTAAAAAGTTGCTTTGGAATGTTTTTATAGGAATACAGAATTTTCCATAGCAAGAAAAGTTACAGAGATTTTTTTAAATGCGCATTTTTGAAAAACACTATAATTCTTAATGAAAATTTGGCCGCAGACACCGATATCAGTTGTATCTCATTTGGAAAGCAGACTATCCTTTTGAAAAGTTATATTTATGGAGCAAATAATTCTTCGGGCACGCTGTATAACGTTTCTTGAAATGAATGATGCTCAGTTTTTGCGGAGAAATGATTTTGTTTTATTTGATTCTCCCACTTTCACTAAATTTATCAGATTCGTAAGTAATTTTACACAAAGCCTCATATTAAGTAGGTTGGCATATTTAAATGATTAAACGAATTAGAAAAAGACATGTAAGAATGACTGCATTTACAGGAAGTGAGCATTTTTATTGTTTCAAATGTGAAATTGATCTATTAGAAAGAAATGCACAATAAAAAACTTCGTCTAAACTCAAGAAACTTAGTTATTTGAATTAAATAAACTCTAAATCGAAATAAAAAGATTGGAAGAAATGCAGCCTTCTATAATTTTTTAATATTTCATTTTAGTAATGTTTATAAGATCTTCTGGACGGTCCTCTGTTGTTGTTTATTTGAAAAAACAGCAAAATTTTACTAAATACAAAAATTAAAATTTGATTTTTTTTGTAAAACTTAACGTTTTATTTGTTTAAAATGATTTAGAATACATGAAATTCTTCGAATTTGTCGTCTGTTTCAGGCTACCTACTTTTACCAAAAACAACCGCTTCCTGAATTAACGGGACAGATTGATATTTGCGATTTCCTCGAATCATCAAAAGACACGTCCATTGCTAAGAGTATCAACTCGTTAGGATTCCCTGCAACATGTCCGTACGAAACTGTGAGTATTTTTGATTAGACTTTATCAACATTAATGAAAAGAAAGGACATTCTCCGTTTTAAAGTCTGTTCGTAGATATAAGAAAGTGACTAACTGATATGAATTAAGGAAAGACCCGGGCAAGCTGTAAGAATGAAATATGGCCGAACAGGTCAGTACTTAAGATACTAAATAGTATTTATTTATTTATTATTTATATGTTTAAATCCAAAATAAAATTACAAATTATTTTTATTACCTACTTAAATTACTTAAAATTATTCACATAATATATCAGTATCACTATCGCTATCATCGCCTGTTCTAATTATTATTTGTTCCATATTATTTGCAATATGGTTATACGATTGTTCTGCTTTTTCTATTTGTTTAACAGAATTGGCAGAACTTTGTGAAAGGATGTTAAAAACTTCGGTTTCTATAAGTTTGAGGACATTGGAGTTAACACGGGGAAAAACATTGTTACGACGAATCTCAGATTTTAGTTGGTGCCAAACATGTTCAATGGGATTAAAAAACAGTGGTAAGGTGGAAGCCTTGAAACTGTATGCCCTAGATTTTTTGCATAATTATCACAGACGTATTCCTTTTGTAGGTTCAAGCTTTGTAGAACCTCAATTAAATGCTTTTTGGTATAATCTTCGTGAAAATAAATGTCGTTATTATACCTGTAGTTTTGGATTGTTGCTTTTGTGTCACATAAGGTTTGTGATGTGATAACTTGCATTGTCCATTACAATGTCCATTACAATTAGGAGGAATGATTGGAACTAGTTTGTTTTTCAACCAACTCTCAAATAAATCAGCGGTGGTGTCTTCATGGAAATCCAGAGAAGAATCTTTAATATTTTTCGCAATTAGAGGAAGTCCATTTGTTTTACACTTATCACTTGAGTCAACCCAACCATTTTCCAGGGTATCATAAGTGTCGAGCCAGGTTTCACCCAAGTAAATAATTGGCCTTTGTTATTCCCTGTAAATTCTAATTTTTTCTAAATATTCCAGTCGCCATTTCTGAATTCTAAAAGATTCCATTAAACCTTGCTTTTTGTCAATTTTTTTAAATCTAAAACCCGTGTGTTGAATACACTTCCATAAGATCTTTCTGCCACATTTAACAGCGGTTTCATCTTTTTTAAGCCTCCTATTCAGATATTTAATGTAGGCACGCTTTGTTCCTCGTATAACTGGTAAATTTTCCGCCGTATTATATCTTGACCACTTTCCTCTACCCTCGAGAAAATGTCAGCATCGCTTCTTTTTTTCCTTGCTGAAATGGGATTATTTTCTATACAGTTGATGTTGGAATTTTCGTCAATGTGGCCGTTTCTTCTAAAGATGCTTGCTTGTTGGAACCACATTCAATGAGAGTCAAATAAACATTGTTTATAAATTCCTTAGTTTCAATAGAATGGTGTTTTCTACATTTGGGCGGGAGCATCTTATGAGATACACTAGACTCGCACATATTTTGCATAATTCGCACACGATTCAACACATACAGCGTGTGTACACACGAAATAAGAATGATTACTAATAAACTTAAACTAAGTAGTATACCAAACCATAAAATATTAAACACACATAATTTTATACCTAATAAAATTATTTTCTATTACGGACCACAATTTTACCTTAATATTTAAATTCCGAAACATTTGGTAATAATCTTTTTGCTTTGAATGTTAATGACCACCCTTGGATAATCCCATTCAAAAGCAATTGATCACTTTCTTATATCTATGAACAGACCATACCTGCTTTTTGGAGGAGGCACCATCTAGCCTTTGTATACGGAGGATAATCGAGAAGTACTTAACTCGTAAACATATTTAATACAAGAGTTTCTTGTATTGACTCACACTGCTTAAGTATATGGTTTTTCTATACACCGGGGTAATTTTTTTAGTAGCTTTGTTTTTGTTTACTCTATATCTTAAATGACATCCCCTGTATATTACCTTATAGTCAAATTGATCATTTTAACATAATTTGAACGACATATAATAGTAGGTATTCAAGATAAGCGTTTCGTAATTATTGACCATCATCATCAGATTGTCAATCTCTTATAAATATATTAAAGTTACTTTTCTTACAAATTTGATTTTATTTGACTGGTTATAAGAATTATAATAAACAATATCTAAAAACATCGAGTACTATTTTTTTGTTTTTATTTTTGGCAATAAAATAGAGTAAATAAATCGTTCAGCCAGTATGATAGTCAATGTTAAGGACACGGTTATGTTAGGACTCTATTAATATACGTCGTTATGAAGTAATATAGGGGTCACATTTAAAATTTTCAAAGTTGGAGACCTCATTGCATGTTGTCCGCTTAAATTTATTTTACTAGCATGAGATAGCACAAACTTTAAACTTTTATTTGGCATATATAGAATTTGAAAAATCTTTAAAACGCTCTCGCTATGACAGCTTCCGTCAAAAACTAAAGAAAAACGGCTCCGCTGACGTTTCGTCAATCATCCTGTTGGGTTCCGAACTGAAAGTTTCAGTTATGCTCTGAAGAAGCCTGTGGAAGTTTCTTTGGAAAAAGAAGATCGTTGTTGTGACAATAATTCCTGAGAGGGTAAATTCAGAGACGTATTCTATGGAATCACTTAGTACCTTTGGAATAAACTGAAATTCCATGATATTTTATACCATAATTCTAGATCTTGCTGAAAGTTAAAGACCTGTAGAAGAATTAATCACATACAAGAATTTTAGTTTTATAGAATTAGATTTAATGTCCGGTTTCAAGGTTATGTTCGGCAACTGCTGATGAGTTTATTTGTCGTATTCTCAAGGCTCTTTTATGTTCTTTGAACCTAGGTGTTATTTTTCTTCCAGTCTCTTCAATGCAAACTGTAGTAAACTCCGATATTTCAAATAGAATTTTGTCTTTGATGGATCGAAGATGTTGAGAAATTTTTGGATAAATGGTAAATCTCGTTTTGATGTTATATTCCTTAAGAACTTTTGATATGTGGTCAGTCGTATTTTGAATATGAGGAGGGACAACAGTGGCAAGTGTGTTGTTGCTTTCGGACTCATTGTCTTTGGAAGGTTGCGGTGAAGTGTATTTTGTGATAGAACCCTTAATATCTATAATGTGTAAACCATTAGAGAAGAGCAGATGTAAGGCGTTTTTATTCTGGGTTCAGTTGATATAGTTTTACCGCTTTGTAAACAAGAGAGTTTATAACCGATGGTACGATATGTGTAGGTGTCCCAGGATGACGCAATGTTGGGTCCAATTTTCTATTGATAAGAATATCTAAGAAAGGGAGATTATTATTAGTTTATAATTCAATGGTAAATCGTATGTTAGAGTTTAAATGGAAATTGAAAATGGAAATGGAAAATGTCGCAGGGATTCATGACCATAAGACCAGCAGTGTCCCAACACCATAATTGGCTAAAATTAAAAAAACAAATATATAACAACATAATTCACCATTCATCAGCAAAGTGGAGTAAACAATCTTATATTGATTTTTCCCCTCTCATTTACTGTCAAAGATCTTCTTAGTCCGATACATCTAAAGGGATAAAAATTGTTCAATGAAATTTTTTTTACAAAAGTGCGTAATTTTGGAATCCTATTTTATTAAATTTGTTTATTCAGGGATACCCAAGAATCCTATAGCGGGTCTCTCATTATCACATCTAAACAGATAATTTATATTATCGAAACATAAGTTAAAAAGATAACGTAGTTTATACGTTAAACCATAGTATCTAATTCTTTCGAGTATCATCTACCCTAGCCTCTAAAACCCTGTCAAGAATTAACCGAAATGAAGCACAATCGTATATGGTTGACGTCACAGAGTGTTAATAAGTGCCATTGAAGAGCGTCAACGCTCTTCTGTTTTAAGGAGTCTGGTTCTGTTATTTGCAGAGATTTTCATTTGTTTTTAGGGAAAAATATGCGGCGATCCGGGAAAAAAGATCAACCTGTCTGCGTACAAAAATCAACTATCGATGGTACTCGGAAAGATGGAAGTAAAACTCAAGATCGACCACGACGTTGGAAAATCGTGCATAAAATTGGGTTTATCTGCGTCAAGGGAGAGAAAAAGGAGTGGCTAAGAACTACTGTAGTTACTACAGAATTGTTATTATTAAAGCACAAATAAAATAAAGTACAATTACTAATACTAATTTTAATTATCACATTGGTTTTTGGAAAGGTACTTTCGACATTATGCAGTTTGGAGACCCGTCTAACCTTAGGGGACATTTTTGTTCTTCTCGATTGATCTTAAGCTTTGCATTTATGTCAACACTTGAATTACATATTGGTATGTGGAACGGAACAGGAGAGACATTGCAATAACTAAAATAATAAATATTTATACCGCAAGTAGGTATTTCGAAATCTATACGACTTGGGACAAGCAAGTATTGAATTACTGCAATATATCAGACCTCAATTTATCATTAAATAATGGAAATAAAAATATTCAGATTATATAAAACGCTTCGGACGAAAAGTTGAATCATACTAAATAAAAAGTAATGTTTTTAGTAGTAAAAAAAATTTGACCAATTACTGTTTGACAAAAGAGTGTCTAAGGAGTTTATCAACGTGTTGTATACATACAATCGGTCTTTGGGTACATTTTCGCATATCAGCATTCTATGCAATTGAAAGCTGACTTCCTAAAGTGACACTCTAACACGGCTGAACACTTTTAAACTTCGTTAGCCACGGATATCAGTTACTTTGTTATATATTTTTACTTTGGTTTATAATTTTTTAAATATTATTAAAAGCGATTAATTTTAGCGCAATGCTAATGTCAAAATTGTTGATATGTTTATGAACAACAACAATTTTATAAAGTGGTACAGTTATTTATCCTATACTTGTCTTAAGGTTAGTTCGAATGGTTTGTACAGGGTGAGCCAAAATATTGATTTTCGTAAAAAAATCAAATGAAATATCCTGTATTGTACTTCCATTAATTACATCCATTAATGCCCTTTCAATTTTATTAACCGTGCGGCACATTTGACGATTGAGTTTAAAAGTGAGTGTTTATTAATAACACATAATACAGAGTGTTCCATTTGAAAAATATAAGTTTGGTTTCTTAAATATTTATGGACCACCATGTATGTTTCAAAAACAATTTTCAATTGTTTCTTTTAGTCTCAAATATAACTCGTGTATTTAACATTTTTTTCTGAAACAACGCAATATATACTTTGACACACGATAGAGAACTGAATATGGTAAATTTAAATGAAACTCAGAGCATTGGCACTTTAATACAACTGTTAAATCCGGGAGCGTAATTAAGCACCGAAGCAAACCTATTAACAATTTACTATTCAAATAAAACGGGTACAAATATCAAAAAGCGGCCATCTTCTGGTCTTGTTACTTTAATTTGTTATCCTGTGGCTCACTATAGCGGGCCACTTCCATGAGGGGTTCTGGCCTATGGCTAATTCATCCATGGGCGGATAGATGGCAGTGAGGTTGTTTGTAAAAATTTTAATTTTCACAAAACTACAAAACGAGAATTCGAGAAGTTTTGATTTGGTTAACGCAAAATATCCAAGACAAAATGTATAGAGACAGATTAAGATTTAACATTTTATTGCAAGTTGTTAGCCAACGAAGATCTTTGCGTGTATTTAAAGAAATGTAGTCCGTACAGGATTACATTACTATAGGAGCCCAATGAAATTGATCCCGACAACACACTACAGTTTTTCATGGTCAGAAACTGCCTGCCGATGAAGACATATTTTGTTTAAATGGCACGGTAAGAAAATCATACAAACAATCCACAAAAAATAAATATTTGGCCAGTGATTTTGAATAATCAAATTATCGGACCTTATTTCTTCTATCAAAATCTTACTGGAACCCGATATTTGATTTTTTTCTTCGCAATAGCGAAATTCCTACTGTATCGTTTTCTTTCCCATATCCAAATCAGCCTGATATAGACAGGTTTCAACAGGATGATTTTAAAATACGGCATTTCCCGGAGAGCGTATTGGTAGATGGAGACCAGTAGAATGGCCTGCAATATCCAGATGTTACTTCACTGGATTTTTAATACATTTAAAATCAAAAACGTATAAGGAAAAACCACAAAATTTAGATGATTTAAAATTTAGAATTACGTACCGAAATAAGACAAATTAATTAAAATATTATCAAGACGTTGATGGCGGCCATTTTCAACAGCCAATAAAATAATTTATTTGACATGACCTGCGAAAAATTTAAATTTAAATTGTCGGAGTTTCATTTCGGACCTTAACTGGTACTGACCACTAACCAGCTTATTTCAAAATTAAATTTCTGGTTTTAAGAAAGAAACAGAGAAGAATTGTTTTAGAAAGTACTAGTTTTGCATTTTCCAAAAAAAAAAACAAATTGCCCCGTGTGCAATGTCCAAAATAGCACAAGGACTTCCGTAAAATGTCCTCGGAATATCTGACGGGTCATAGCGTAAATCCTAGGGATATAGTGTTTGAGCTAAGGGACATCCTTTAGACGCCTCAAGGATATACGATGTTACTAATTGGAACATTCACACTATATCAGATACGTATATCCATAGGATGTTCGTTAGGACATACTAAGGATATCCAGTTATACTAGTTGATACGTCGTTAGTATATCCGACTATGAGGATATAGGGTCTTATATAGATATACCAGTGGACCTTACTTATTAGGTTATTTCCAACAACCTATGAAAAATACTACAGTGAAATTGGAATGCCAGTATTTGGTACTCGCGTGTGATGGGATTAACCTATTGGGTATGGTTGGTGAAGTCATCACTACAATAGCAGGCGATATTTGAAATACAGATTTTTTTTCCCACCTTTCCCATCTTTAATTTTGCTTTTGATGGTAAAAGTGAAGAACTGCCGATTGATACCATTAAAAAAATAAATTTTATACACAGTTTTTTCTATTGTACATATGAAAAAATTTTAGGTATATAATATAGCAAAAATACAGAACAACTTAACCTAAAGTATCTTAAATATAGAGTAATATACTATATCTTGAACTAAACTCTAAAAGAATAACTAATATTTGACAGGTGGTCTGTCATTCTTTCATGAAAGTAGCTCTTTACAGCCAAGCAGCAATGGAATTTTCACATTCTTTTGATATTTGTGATGTGTTTGCCTTCTCATCCGCATCTGAAAATATTTTAGTTTTGAGAAAGGCATATTTTATATATGTGTACATAAAAATAGAACGAGACTATATATACATTTATGTATTTCATTTCATTAAATAAAAATCTCATTAAATTCTCATCGGTAAGATCTCTTTTATGAGAGTAGGTACTATCGCGTGCAAAGAAAACTAGAACAAATATGACTTTCCAGTTTGACAGTAAAAACCTATTTTAATGCAATATTTTTTGGCAATCTAAAAATTTTGCTAGTTTTTTTTTTGCTCGTGATGATACCTGCTATAACCATGAAAACAGCCTTAAAAAATAGGAAAAGTGTTTTCAAATTGTACTTTATGCAGGGTGATTCCTAAAATTAATATTTGATTATTCCATCAATTTTAAGAAAAAAATATACTAACTACACTATATAATTAAAAATATAATTTTGTTCTGGGGGATTTTCTCTAACAATGCTTTCTTAAATAAAAAATTAGTTTAGTTTTGTATGCTTACATTTAACTGCTCAAAAACGATGAAGAGACAGTGGATTTTATTTTTGTTTTCAAAAACAAAGCAATAAGATACGAAAAGAAGTCTAGAATCAAAAAACATATGTAATATAAAACGTATAATATAGTTATATAGGTTACAAAAAAGTCAGTTTTATTTTAACTCGGTCCAGCAATCACTCCTTAAAAACTAAACAAGCAATCGCCATAATATATATTTCATTAAATTATATTTCTTATATTTTATTTATATTACATATATTACACAATATACTTATATTACTTACCAAATATTAATTTGGCCAATTTTAATTTTGAAAATCTCTCCTTTTTCTTCTTGCCCAACCAATTAAATTTCATTGCGAGTTCATTTGAAATCAGCGGGCTCAGAGCTTGTTTTACAAACTCACAACTGCCGCCGCTGGCTGATCGTGCTATCTCATTGACCCAGGCAAATAATAAAAAAACAAGGCATGATGTTGGTAGACTACACAACAACTATATTTATATACTATTTATATACTACCATAAAGCTTTACTTACATGAAAACAAGGCTGAAAAGATGGCGGACGACGAGACGGAGGAGAAGCCGACGAGACTCGAGCGAGTCCGGTACGGTACGACCGCAAGTAGTTTAGTTTACGAATCCGTATTTTCTGTGGTATTTTTATTAAAAATGGGTTTCTTGTCTGGTTCGTGTCCAAAAATAATAAAAGGAAGTTGATTTTAAAGGTTACATTCTGGTTCTTTTTAGAACTTGCCAACACTGACGTCGATGTAGATGTGCACAAAAACGTTGCCAATAAAATGTCTCCCAAAACACCACAAATCTATTTTCCTTCTCAGTTGTTCAAAATGTAACTTTTTAGGTTTCATTTTGTTTTGTGACGACGCTGGAACGAAACAACGAATACCTTAAAAAAGTTTCATTTTTATTCTTTAAAATCTTATCGAAATCTACACTTGTATTAATACATGTTGTCTTAAAATGAAGGCCGCTTAAATTATCCTTAAATACATCACAGATCAAACATTATTTGCTAAATTATTAGTCGAACAATTTGGAACTGTACTAGTTCGATATTAATATCAGCTCTTCGCCAAACGTTAAGAAAAAAAATACACAGCCTTGCGCAACTATCGATCCAGACGACGCTCTACATCTTAGTATCGATTTCTTCGGTCGCATTGCCATCGGTAGTATCGTCCCTTAAGGGTTCCGTCTCCGAATCTTCGAGGCAAGGTTGCCCAATGGCGACATTCTCGTTTCTCCCCGTAACATCGTCGGATTTATAACCGCGTTCTTCTTTAACGGTATCATCGTCGATACTTTTACTATTACTGCTACTACTCGACCTGGCGTGAATGCTATTTATGGAACTGCGTAGAGACGGCAACTCGTCTTGTAAAATCTTAACCGACTTTAACGTGGGGGTCGCTTTCTCCGGAATTGGGAGAACCTCCTTCGATCCGGATATCAGTTTGTCCAATTCCTACGGGGAAACCGTATTTTCAGAAAATGTTACCGTACGAATACATTTTACTGGAATGTATCGATTTTGTGAGGCAAATTTCATTTAGAGACGGGTGGCGACGGATATTGTTTTTATTGTCTTCGTCATGCGCATTAATGAAGTGCAGTCAGAGTAATTAAGGAGTTACGTCATACAACGACATCTTTATTTAGTTTATCACCGGTGAAAAGAGCAAGCCTTTATTTTACACAAAAAAAAATGCATAGAAGCCGCTTTCACCCTTAAAGGCTCTGCACAGTGTAAGTGTTTACTGTCGCCATACTTGAAGCCATCTATTTCTATGAACGAGCAATTTAAGTTTGTGAACATTAATAATTAGCTACGTCCTTTTTATAGTCGGTGCCTAAGCTTGTTTCTCCTTTATGTTCGTTAATGCGTTTCTTGAAGGATCCACCTGTTTGTCCAATATAAATTTTAGGACAAGATCCGCATTTTAACCTCTAGACACCTGATTATTGAAATTTTGGACATTTCGTTTTATTGTTTTTTAAAAATTTTCCTATTATGTTGTTAAGTCTGAAAGCTATTTTTAAACCACATTTTGACAAATGTTTTGAAATTTTTTCACTGGGTTCTCCTATGTATGTAATTGTTTTAAATTGTTCTTGTTCTTGTATTAGGTTTCGGATAAATAGAGTTTACTGTTTTCTGGATTTATTTTTTATTTTTAATTTTATCGATAATGGACGGATTGTAACCGTTGTTCAGTGCAATTTGTTTAATGATATTAAGTTCTTTGTTGTAATTTTCTATTGAGAGTGGCGTATTAAGAAGTCTGTGTGTAAAAAAGTGAAATACCCATTTTGTGTGTATAAGGGTGATTTGAGCTGTTATATATGACTGTGTCCGTGTGTGAAGGTTTATGGTAAATGGAAAAATCTAATTTCTTTTGCGTTTTCGTAATAGTTAAGTCTAAAAAAATAATAGAGTTATCCTGTTCAATCTAGATAGTGAATTTTATACGATTATATAATAATATGTAACAAAGCAAGCAAAAACATCATCCACCTATCAATAACACCCTAGAAAACTTCTACGTGATATTTTCCAAATATCCATAAAAATTTCGGCTATCAAAGGACTAAGAGGGTTTCCCATGATCAAACCTTCCTTAGAGAAGTAAATCTGTACATTGAATTCAAAACAATTTTAGTCTGAAGATACTATTAAGCAAACTAAAAAATCTTGTTTCACCAATGAATTAACCTGTTTCCGAGTGAGGGTGGAATCTACTAAATGTATCACATCCATAAGTGGAATACTGGAAAATAAATTTTGTGCATCAAAAGGCAATAGTGTTGCGTTAGAAGGGATTTTGATATTTTTAATTTTGTTGATTAATTCAAAAGAATTTTTTATTGAAAATATTGGTTTAAAATCTGGGCGGAACTTTAAAATATTTACTAATTTTGTTGAGAGTTTAACTGCTGGAGCCGTCCCATAAGACACGACTGGTTTAATGGGCATATGTTGTTTATATAATTTAACTATAAAATATAATTTCGGCAGTTGTGGATTCATAATTGTTAAAAAAATACTTGTAATTACGTCCTTGACTTGTCTGATATAAATCGGTAGGATCGTGTTTGCCACAAAAAGTAGAAAATTAAATTTATTGGAAGCCATGGAGATTAACAAAATCAGACATTCAAATGTATTGCTTAACGATTAATTAGATTTAAATACCTGTCCATTAATAAACTTAACTTTTCATAGCAACATTAATTAATGTTTTATTGTCATTTTGCGGTATATATAGTAGCAGATAGTTTGTAAATATTACATTTGATAAAGAGACTGTCTTGTCGAAGCAATTGTCATGTGAATATATATAATTTCTGAAAATCTGAACTTTTAGTTCTTATTTATTTTGTTAAATCGATTTTCATGAAGTAAAAGCCACCTCAGTTCAATTAAAGTTCGAACCAAAACAGAAATATTTTGGTTAGTTGGTTTGGTTTGGTTAGCTCTGACCTAAGGGCAATGTTGGACACATACACTTTAATCGATGCAGTTTCAAATTTGGCCTGGAATATGTTAAGACCAATTGTTACAGAGAAATGTTGGCTAATTATATTTTAACCATTCTGGATACCATTCTCTAGTTTTTTAAAGTCTTCGTTTTTTCATCAATTATTGTTAATGTTCTAGAGAGATTCCAGTTACAGAGGTTCGACTGTATTATACGTTAACGTTAATTTTGAATTTTGTATATTACAGGTTGAATGTGAACTAAACAACATTAACGAATGGAATAAAGATGAACCAGCAAACTTTGGAGAATGAAATAACAACTGATTCTGATTCGGAAAAAGATGACAATGACAATTGTATGTCAAATTCAGAAGACAAGGGAAGCTCTGCGATCTATTAATGACCTTATGCACCGGGCTGAAGAAAATGGTGAAGTAGTAGAATATAACATAATATCTTGATTATGTTACAAGATTGAAGACAAAAAATTGTAGAAATCAACCTAAAAAAAAAATTTAATAGCCTAAACTAACGTCATTTTAGTGTTTCCATAAACCTTTAGTGTGCATTCAAATATAATAGTGCTTGTGTTGTTTGTTACTTTTTGCGGAATATATATGTATTATTTCTTTGATTGTGTCCTTAATCTCAAACCCCGCAAGTGTGAACAAAATAGTAAAATTGCTTTGCCAAAATGAGTTCACTAAATCGCAACTTCACTGTATAGCGTTGTAAAGTCTGTTTAGCGAATATCTAATAGTCTCTAATCATATTTAGATTTTACTAGGGTGTACAGGTCTTAAGTGGGACACACTGTATATTTTGCAAAATTTTATAAAACGACAAGATATCGGAGTAGGTTCTTTTAATTTCCAGGTCATAATTAATGACACAATTGTTGCAAATATTGAACTGAGATGGCTTTTACTTGATGAAAATTTATTTATCAAAATAAATAAGAACTAAAAGTTCAGATTTCCAGGCATTTTGACATGACAATTGTTTCGACAAAATCGTGTCTTTATCTAATGTAATATTTACAAACTGCCTGCTATTATATATACCGAAAAATGACCATAAAACCTTAACAATTATGAATCCACAACCGCCGATATTATATTGTTTAGTTAAATTGCATAAACAAGATATGCAGGCGTGTCTTATGTAACAGCTCCAACAACTCCAACCCCAATACTATACCAATACTATCTTTAGACCAAAATTATTTTGAATTTAATGGACAGATTTACGTCTTTAAGGAAGGTTTGATTATGGGAAACCCACTTAGTCCTATGTTAGCCGAGATTTTTATGGATAATTTGGAAAATGTCATACTAGAACATCCTTTAAGTAAAAGTTTGCTATGGTGGTATAGATACGTGGATGATGTTTTTGCTTGCTTTGTTGGAACGGACAGACAATTGAATTCTTTTTACTCATTACATAATCGTATAAAATTCAATATTTAGGTTGAACAGGATAACTCTATTAATTTTTTAGACTTAACTATTACGAAAATGCAAAACAAATAAGATTTTTCCATTTATTATAAACCTTCACACACGGACATAGGTATACATAACAGCTCAAATCACCCTTATGCACACAAAATGGCTGCATTTCACTCTTTTATGCACAGAATTCTTAATACGCCAATCTCAACAGAAAATTACAGCAAAGAACTTAATATCATTAAACAAATTGCATTGAACAACGGTTACAATCCGTCCATTATAGATAAAATTATAAATAAAAAACAAATCCAGACAACAGTAAACTCTATTTATCCGAAACCTAATAGAGAACACCAACAATTTAAAACAATTACATACATAGGAGAACCTAGTGAAAAAGTTTGAAAACATTTGTCAAAATGTGGTTTAAAAATAGCTTTTAGAACTAACAACACAATAGGAAAATTTTTAAAAAACAATAAAACGAAATGTCTAAAATCTCAAAAATCAAGTGTCTACAGGTTGAAATGCGGATCTTGTCCTAAAATTTATATTGGACAAACGGGTAGATCCTTCAAGAAACGCATTAACGAACATAAAAGAGCGTTTAAAAACAATAGTCTAGATTCTAATTATGCTACACCCTTAAACACAGAAAAACACATTTTTGACGACAATTTTGATATTTTACATACAGCAAAAAAAGTTGAAAATTAAATTTATTGGAAGCCATGGAGATTAACAAAATGAGACATTCAAATGTATTGCTTAACCATCAATTAGATTTAAATACTTCTCCTTTATTGACTTAAATTCTCACAATAACATTAATTAAGGTTTTATGATAATTTTTCAGTATATGTAGTAGAGGTAGTTTGTAAATATTACACTTGATAAAGACACGATGTTGTGGAAACAATTGTCATGTCAAAATATATAATTTCGTGAAAATTTTAGTTCTTATTTATTTTGTTGTTGCAAATGTTTATACTGGATTTATATGTTAGGGATCTCAGAAATATGCTTCTATGCGCGTATATCGTGTAAGTTATTAAATATGTGCAGAACAAAATACGACGAAAGATACTAGTTTTATTGCAGCCAATGTATCTTCGAATACTTCCACAACGGACCTTACCTGATTCGAAGGGCAGCAGTGATTTTCCCTACAAAGTTCGCCGGAACACGCGACCAAACATTTGGGCGGGACTTTCCCCGAATGTAAGCTCTCGACGCTCGCGCTTTTGCTGAAAAATTCCGGTTGAATCGTCACTTGGGTCACGCCGCTCTCCAGGAAAAACTCTTTGATCTCCTCCATTTTGCTCTTGTACACCTTGGGATTCTCGAAGATGATGTGCACGGTCGAAATCACTTTCGAAGCGGTGAGCTGCCACACGTGAAAGTCATGCACGTTTATGATGTCCGGAAAATGGGTCACGAGTTCCGCTTTCAGGAAGTCGATATTTATCGTATCGGGCATCGTTTGGAGGAGTATCAGGCAGCTTTCCTTAACTTGAAACAGAAAATCAATAAATCGAAATAATCACTCGGTCCAACTCACTGTATGGAACGCTCAAGACCATGATGGCGGTAGCGGATAGTAAGGACAGAGCGGGATCGATATACTTCGCAATTTCCTTGTCCGTGAAAATGACAGCCACAGATCCCACCATGACAAAAAAGCATCCTACAAAGGTTTAAATGATTGCAACCGATGACTCCGTCATCATCAAGAGTACTTAATTTTTCAAATACTTTTTACAAAACTTCTGGAGTCGAACATGCTGACTTTTCGTCAATGATCCTGTTGGCTTCTTCAGAGCTTGACTGAAACTGGCTCGCATTTTACTCTGTAAAGTCTGTTCATAGATATAAGAAAGTGACTAACTGATACGAATTAAGGAAAGACCCTGGGAAGCTGTAAGAAGGAAATATGGCCGAACAGGTCCGTACTTTGCTTAGAATTTAATTATTTGGGGTTTTGTTAGGAAAGATCTAAAATAAAATTACAAATTATTTTTATTACCTACTTAAATTACTTAAAATTATTCACATGATTTATCGCTATCATCGAATGTTCTAATTATTATTTGTTTATATGTTTAACAGAATTTGCCCAGCTTTGTGGAGGGATGTTAAAAACTTCGGATTCTATAAGAAAAAAGGGACATTGACGCTATTAGGAGGAATGCTTGGAAATAGTTTGTTTTTAAACCAACTTTCAAATAAATCAGCGGTGTTGTCTTCATGGTAATCCAGAGAAGAATCTTTAATATTTTTCGCAGACAGAGAAAGTCCATTTGGAATCCAACCAACTTTAGAGCCAGCATGCCTAATACTTATTCTTTTACCTCTTTTTGATGGCGCGTTTGTTTTACACTTATCAGTTTTACACTTATCACGCAACCGGGGTATCATAAGTGTCATCCAAGTAAATAATTGGCCTTTATTGTTCTCTGTAAATCCTAATTTTTTCTAGATATTCCAGTCGCCATTTCCGAATTGTAAAAGATTCCATTAAAACTTGCCTTTTATCATTTTTTTAAAATCTAAAACTCATGTGTTGAATACACTTCCATAAGGTAGTTCTGCCACATTTAACACCGGTTTCATCTTTGTTCCTCGTATAACTGGTAAATTTTACGCCGTATTATATCTTGAAGACTTCCATCTACACTCGAGAAAAGGTCAGCATCGCTTCATTTTTTCAACGCTGAAATGGGATTATTTACAATTTTCCATATAGTTGATGTTGGAATTTTCGTCAATGTGGCCGTTTCTTCTAAAGATGCTGGCACCGCGTTCAATGAGAACCAAATAAATAATGTTTATAACTTAGTCTCAATAGAATAGTGTTTTCTACATTTGGGCGGGGCATCTCTTGAGATACACTAGACTCGCACATATTTTGCATAATTCGCACACGATTCAACACACGCTGTATTACACACGAAATAAGAATGATTACTAATAAACTTAAACTAAGTATTATACCAAATCAAAGAATATTAAACACAGGTAGGCATAAAATTATTTTCTATTACGGACAACAATTTTACCTGAAGTTAAATTCCGAAACTTTAGGTAATAATCTTGTTGCATTGTATGTTAATGACCACCCTTGGATAATCCCATTCAAAAGCAATTGGTCACTTTCTTATATCTATGAACAGACCATACCTGCTTATATATTGTTTGAGGGGGGTGGAGCTAAATGAGGGGCATAAACACCGTCTCGGATGACTGTCGAGGTTAGGATTTTTAAGTTGTTCATAGATTTCTATAAACTCTCGGATTTTTCGTTGGTTGAAGAATTGATTACATGCAAGAAATTTAGTTTTAACGAATAAAGTTTTATGTTCGGTTCCGTGATGTTCGGCAACTGCTGATGAGTTTATTTGTCTTGGTCTTAAGGCTGTTTCCTGTTCTTTGAGCTTAGTTTATATTTTTCGTCCGGTCTCTCCGATCTATTCTTTGCCGCATATGCATAGAATGCGGTAAACTGCTGGCATCTCAATTGCAACTGAGAGATTTTTGGACAAGTGACAAATCTGGTTTTGACGTTATACTTCTTTAGAACTTTTGATATGTGGTCAGTGATGTTTTGAATGTAAGGAAGGACCACAGTGGCAAGTGTGGGATTGCTTTTGGCCTCATTGCTATTGGAAGGTTGTGGTGAAGTGTATTTTTTGATGGAACGCTTAATATCTGTGTGTGAAAATTATTAGAGAGAAAAGCAGAAGTAATGTGTTTTAATTCTGGGGGGCTGAAAGAGTTTTACGGCTCTGTAAACAAGAGAGTTGATAACTGATGATTTTTTTGGCCGGATGGTAATGTGACCGTGCATTAAAGTCTGTATGCGTAAGTTTCTGTAAAAATAATAATCCAATGTTAGGTCTGATTTTCTATTAATAAGAGCATCTAAGAATTTAAAGTTATTATTGGTTTGCCACTCAATGGTAAAACGTATGTTATGGTGTATAGAGTATAAATGTCTGACCATGAGACCAAATAACAAAAGTATTATCGACGTAGCGTTTCCAAAATTTTGGCTTTAGATGAAGGGTGTCGAGAGCTTTCTTCACAATGACTTCCATAAATATATTTGCGATGACTGGTGATAGCGAAGAACCCATATCTGTTCCCGACGTTTTTTCATGGCCCATTATAAGGAAAATATGCTCCCGACAAGCATTTTTCGATTATGATGAGAAGATTTGGTTAGATTTTCGGATTTTAATATATCTGAAATGAGGTTGAGAGTTTCAGGAATAGGAACTTTGGTAAAGAGGGATTCATCCTTAATTCCTTTCACTTCATTGAACAATTAAAAAGCAATGCATTAGATACACAAGATATTCTAGTTAGTTTCGAGGTAGAATAGAAAATTTCTCAATATCTTCGGTCCGTCGAAGACAAAATGATATTTGAGATGCCAGGAGTTGACAGCATTCCATGTATATGCGGCAAAGAATACATTTGAGAGACCGGACGAAAAATATTTAAGACTAAGACAAATAAACTCATCAGCTGTTGCCGAACACAATCACGAAACCGGATATAAAATTTTATTCGATGAAACTAAAATTCTTGCATCTAATCAATTCCTCTACCAACGAAAAATCAGAGTGTCTATAGAAATCTATAAACAACCTAATAATCTTAAAGGCGACTCAGATCTTTATCTGTCACCAATATGGGAATCAGTCACCTGAGACGGTGTTTATGCTCCTCATTTAGCTCGGCCTCCCTCAAACAATATAAAAGCAGGTAAAGAGTAATATGCGAGCCAGTTTCAGTCAAGCTCTGAAGAAGCCAACAGAATGAATGTCGAAAAAAAAAGCTAGTTCGACTCAGCAAAAACCGAGGAAGGTGGAATCCAGAAGTTATGTAAAAAGTATCAAGAGTACTTACCGGCAATATCTCTGGCCATTTCCCATAAGCCCTGCCTATTTCTGGGAGGGCTGGAATAGATATTCCGCGTCCTGGACAGTCTCCGTTGACCCCTTTGCACCGATTCGTTTACTACCACTTTGTTCAAGATTACGTCGCCGCTTTCCGTCACATATAGAAAACTTCCTTGGTGAAACGTGTAACCGCCTATTAAGAGGTAGCAAGCTCCGTTGAGAAGAAAACCCGTAGCACCTGGAAAGTATCGAAAAATTAGCTAGACAAAGGAGAACCCTGTAATCACAACTACCTTGCCTTTATTTTCTAAAAACAGTTATAAGATTTTGAAGTCGTATGGTAACAAAAGAAACAACATCGATCCTGGTTGATGATATATAACATGGCATGGAAACAATACAAAAAGAAATGCCAGTGTTGAACATGTTAAAACCATAAAACACTTTGGATATGTGAGAATATGATGCCCCTATATTATGAATGTCTTGGCCCATCGGCTAAGGCATCTGACTAGAAATCAGATTCTTCTTCGCAGCGTATGTTCAAAACCCACTGACCGCAAACCACTATTGTTAACAGCTAACCGAATACGGGACAACTATTCGAATTGAGTGCACAGATTCCTGAACAAGTTATTCCAGTTAATTACAAATGCATTTTATTTAGCAATTTAGTAACCAAGACTAAGACGGTGGACTGGAAACAAAGGACTTATGCGATAGCGAACATCCATAGAGGATTCGCACTAGAAGAAGCTGTATACTACATAAACATAAGATGGCAAGTGGTTGTACAACTCACGAAGATGCAAGTATTAACAAAAATAAAATAGAAGGTTCCTAAAAACACACTTTCGGTATTAGAGTGAGATAACCATCTTTTCTGATTCTGATAGAGATCACACAATAGGAGCTTTTTGATTACAGTTGACATATTTTTTGAGATTGCTTTTTGAGTTTGAGACTCCGGACATTTGAAAGATTTTTTTCTACTTTTCTACCTTATTTAGATTGTCGAATGATATTTTTTCATATATCTCGCGCCCTGTATAATTGACGAAAAATGAAAATCTCTCGACACAGTTTACGATACTGTTGAAATAAAATTATCCCATCTTTATCGCCAATAGTTTACCCAGAAAAACGGATCTTTTAGATTTTTTAACTCTAAACGACACACCCTGCACATGATTCAATGTTCGAAGTAGAGATTATAGCCCGGGATCCTCCACGTTTCCTGGTCCAAGAATTTTTTGAAAATAGTAAGCGGTTTTCGAGAAAATAAGATTCTTCTGAAAGCATGCATCATGCGTCATCGCGTCTTGACAGCCCCTGAAATAACGATTTCAATATGGATTTTTTCAAATATCCCGAGCAGCGTATGTGATAGACGAAAACCGCAAATACAAAAATTCTTGATGCGGCCTATGACACTGTTTGAACTTATTAGCCATATTTTTTACGATTTTTGATTTGCGGCTAATAATTTACTCTGTAAAAAAACAATTTTCCAGGTCTTTTAGATTTTTGCCTATAATTTGAAAACACTGTATATAATCGAAAAAATGCCTAAAGTAAATGTTACTGCCGTGGATCTTCCGCGCCTGCTGGCTAAAGAATTTTGCCGATCGGGTGAACGATTATGGAAGAAAACATATTTTTCTGGAAACTAAAATTACCAAAAAAAAATATATTTTTTTAAAAAATACTTCTAAAAATTTGATTGCACCCAATTTCTAACGTTTAACTGTGGACACGGACATTTACTTCTCTGCTAAACTTGAAGTTAATATCTGCAAATTTAGGACATTTAACACATTTCTCATTTAGCACGTAATATCGGGAACACTCTGTACAACAGGTGAAAGCTTTAAATACAAAAGTTTTTGCTATCTATACGGGCTATATCGAAATATAAAAGAAAGTGAGATCTGATTCACAGCTTTTCAGTTATAACAAATTTTCAATAATAGGACTCATTTTTCAGTTTTTTTGAATTTGCGTTGCACCCTGTATATTCTTGAAAAATTGTCAAGAATAAAAGTTTATGGAGCCGTATCTTCTGTGTCTTCTGGTCTGATTCTTTTGGTCTCGTAAACGGTTTTTGAAAAATGATGTTTTTTGTAGAACCTTGCACACGCGATTTTTAATTTTTTTAGAATACTTCCCGACCCCCCGGCCCCCGCATTTTCATGGGGCAAAGCTGAATATATGTGCCAAATCTAAAGTCAAAAGTCAAAAAACAGTCGAAAATCGCGAAAAAAATATGGATGCCGGCTTCGGATCAGGACCATTCCTTAAATTTGTACTATGCAACACATAAGAACTCTACAAGTAAAACAGATATATCAACAGAAATGTCTTCAATACCATATATAGACTAATGTAGGAGTAAATCAACATAGGAATGCTTACAAACATGAAAATTTAGCTAGTAGGGATATTTTGATATAAGTAATACAATACTTAATATATAATAATACTTAAGTGGTACTCAAAAAACGAAAGTATAAATGCAGTTTTTTCCAATTTATCATAGTCAAGGAATAGCGAAAAAATATTACTGTAGAATATCATATTCAATAGCATAATTCTGATTAAATATATGCCAGATTCCAAAAAAATGTATACATATTTATACACTATTATATTAATTAATATAAAATATTTTAATATCCGTATGGCATTCTGGTCTGCCAGAAAGAAAGTCACTTTAAAAAGTTTCTATTTTTTTTTACAAAACTTCTGGATTCCTCCTGCGTCAGTTTTTGCTGAGTATAAATTGCTGACTTTTCGCCAATCAGTCAAGCTCTGAAGAAGCCAACAGGATGATTGGCGAAACGTCAGCAATTTCGACTCATCAAAAACCGACGTAGGAGGAATCCAGAAGTTTTGTAAAAAGTATTACAGTAGCCTGTGGAAGTTTCTTTGAAAAATTAAGTTTCTAAATTGAATTGGCTAGCTGCACGCCAAACTTGATGAAAAATTGAAAATCATTACAATAATAGATAATAAATTATTTCACAGTGGATTAAATAATAAGGAGAAAATTACTTTTTTAAGATCATCGGTCTAGTGCATGACAGTGTTTCATGAAAGGAGGAATTAGTGTCACCTACGCGGAAAATGTTGGAAGTTTGACGTATTATTGTTTGGGAACGTGGGAATATTGTAGTTTCAAAAACAAATCTTAAGCGTCTCTTCAAAACTGATTTTTAGAAAATAAAATTGCATTTTGTCGTCTTTATAGAAGAGTCAAATGAACTGTTTTCGAAAATAAGTAAAAAAAGTTTTTTTACAAATTGAACCATGCCAGGAAAACGTTTAGGTATGTTAGCATTGAAGATGTTTTAAATATCCTTTGAATTGCTATCTTCGAAACGTGATATTGCTGAACTCTCTTTCAAGTTTCAGATATATCAGATTTGCCTGATGCCCTCAGCATATAAGCAATGTAAAAAAATAAAACAATTTTGTATGGACACTGTTCAATTATCGAAGATTTATTAAGTTAATAAATTTGTTCTGTCTTTTTATAAGATGCTAAGTGTTTGTTGTTCATTGTCAAACTAATATTTAGGTTATGTCTGTACACAGCTGATAATCCTTAGTATTTTCCTTTTCTATGTTTTTCCTTAGAAAATAATACATTTAAAAAAAAGGAATACTATTTCTGTAAAACCCCATGAATATAGTTTCAAGTGAAATATTGCCCAATATCCGACAAAATTTCTGTTTCGTTCCACTAGTTTTGGTACTCACCAAGAAACAAAACGGATATGGGATGATGCATTTCGTCTTGATGGTCAATGTGGGTCAGAGTCTGAAGCGCTTCAACATATATGGAGAAGCAGAAGGAAGCCAAAAACACGCAACATATCAGCATCGTTATCACATCTATCCTAGTCCATCCAAACGTGTTTTTCAACTTTCGTTCCTTGTTGGCCCTCAAAGGAGAAGATTTTTCGTTCTTCTTGTCTCTGCAGGCCGCGTCGGCATTAAAAGCCACTTTGTCGGCCAAATTGCTTGATTCGCTTTCAGCCTTTTTCAAATCGCAGCCTTCACTTTTTTCTTCACTGCCATACTGAAACGGAACGCTGTTCAATTGTTATATGGAAATATATTTGGAAATGAACTGGATATCCAACTTGAAACAAAATCTTAGGACAGGTGATACAAATATAACAAAGAAAAATTCGTCAGAAAATATATCAATGCTTTTTTTAAATTATAAACATTACAACAAAAAGTCAAAGTATGTCACAGAATACAAGCGTTTTTATTTTTATTCATTCTTCATATGGTATTTATATTCAGAGAGGTAATAAAAAGCATTTGTTGGCAGGAAAGATTTAAATTATTTCTTTAATTTCTTAATACATACAATACATATAATATATACAAAATTAAATTAAATTATAGAAAAAACAAAAACGAAACAGTGAGAAGTATTCAATGGAAATAACAAATATTCTACAGGTGAGGATACGTGCCGAATTCAGATTCAAAGCTGGCATATGCTGAGCTCTGTAGAGCCCAAGTAATTCATCAGGACGATTATTAACTTTGATAAGGCCGCTTTTAATTTAACGGTTTTAGTTTTGCTTACATTAATAGCAACACAATTTAGGTTATTGTAGTGCTCCAAAATAGTTAGTTTCCGCTGGACTTTCTGAAGTAGATAATTAAACAAGATCACCGGCCAATAAAAGAAGTGAGTATCTGTGACAAATATATGAAAAAGCACTCATGGCAAAGACTTCACATGCAGAACGCCTGATGTAAAAATATTTTTAATAGTTGGTTATATGGCGTTTTCCAAAGTACGAAGACCATTTTACCAAGACCAATTTAGTAGGGCTATTTTCTGGATATTCGCCGATCCCTTTTTAATTTAGTATAGCATACGTTGCCCCAGAAAGTAGGTATTTTGGAAGAAGTAAGTATTTTAATATACAATACCGTGAAACACGTGGTGGAGGGATAGCTTTTTATTATGTCAGTCATTTTAAAGTTAGAACTATAGAGATATCGGAATATATTAATAATCACAGTTTAGAACATTTATGGTTGCCTATTAGGATCGAAGGGAAAACGTGGTGTCTAGGACTCGTTTATAGATCTCCAATATTGATTTGTTAAAAACTAATACTCCCGATTATTTTCGATTTTCAAATATTCTCACCAACTTTGGCATGCATCAACTAGTTACAGGGCCCACTTTCTTACGAATTATACGAATTATTTATTTGATATTCATGCTCCACTAAAAACAGTTAGAATTAAGGGACCCCCAGCCCCTTGGCTTACGGAAAACATTAAACTTATAATAAAACATAAACATAGATCACGTTTAAGACACAAACGTCTTAAGTCAGATGTTGCTTTAAACGAGTATAGAGAATTACGAAATTTTACGAATTCCTGTGTGAGAGCCGTGAAAAGGGCATATTTGGCAAATATATTTAAGGCTGGTCCTAAAATTTTCTGCTGTACCTTGAGGAGACTTTTTGACCAACCTAATAGTTTTAGTGTTGCTTTTACTTCATTTGGAGCTGTTGGTGGTTTTAATCCGGGGTTTTGTGTCAGCAAATTATATTAATAAACAATTTGGTCCTAATTCATTTCGTTTTGCTAAAGTTTACCCTGAAGATGTTAATAAAACTTTGATTAGTATTAAAACTAACGCTCATGGTTCAGACAATATTGATATAAAAATGATTCTTTTGACTACTGCGTATTTGTCTATCATAACACTTTCCTTGTTGACCTTGCTGACCGGGGATTTTTCGGACTCTTGGAAGTAAGCTGAAGTTATACCCGTTCCAAAGAAAGAGTGTTCAGTAGCATTAACGATTTTAGACCAATCAGTCTGTTGCCAACCATCTCAAAGTTTATTGAAAAAACTGCAGCTAAACAACATCGTCAGTTCGTCTGCGATAACAAAATTCTCCCAGGCACTCAATCCGATTTTCGACCTCTACTTCTGCCTTGCTTCATAATACTGATGATTTATTGGACTATAGCAAAGTTCGACACCTTGGATCATTTCCTTCTCCTAGCTAAAAATGTTCTTGGTCAGAGATACCAAAGGGTAGTTATAGGGAATACTCATTCAGATGCCATTGCTTTGGAGAGGGGTGTGCCCCAGGGGAGTATTCTCGGACCTATTCTGTTCTCAGTTTTTATAGCTGACTTCTCTACTTTTCTTAAATTTTGTAAATCTCATCAATACGCCGATCATACTCAGTTATATTTACCTTTTTTTACTAGTGAAGCTTTAAATGCCGCTACTAAAATAAATTTAGATCTAAAAATAATTCCGGAGGTATCTGCGGCGCACAACCACTTATTGATTACTAACAAAACTCAGGTGTTATTATTTGAAAACAAAAATGAAGATATTGTAAAAAAAGCATCTTTTAAGATTACGTTAAATGATAAGATTATCTCTCCTTCTTCAGGCGGGTGTAAAGGTTAGGATTATGGATCGACAGTGACTTGCGGCTCGGTGTTACAAAAAATCCTTCCATAAGTTGAGGACATTGTATATTCATAAACATTTTCTGAGTAAAGAAGTTAAATTTACATTCTGTGATATGTTAGTTTTATCCTATGTCGCTTATTGCTGTATCGTCTATTGGCCAGCTATACTTAATCGACATAAGGATAGATTCCAACGACTTCAGAATGCTTGTATTCGTTTTAGTTACAATCTTAGGAAGTATGACCATATTTCACAGTGCCTCTCTGATTTGGGTTGGCTGAAGCTGGAGGTCTGATATACAGTTCAGTTAGCCACCTTTGTTTTTTTATTACGTACGAGTTTTGCGTATTTAAGTACAGTGTGTTTATAATATTTTTTAATGAGTAGGCGAAATAGTTTTCGAACTGATTTGATATTTCCAGTTTATCCATAATTAACGTGTCACGAACCAATTCTTGGCTAGTATATATTCATAGTACCATTTGTTTTACGGAATATGTTGTTTTTTAATACACATCGGGACCTACGACGAATTGTAGAAAATTAAAAATAAGACTTATTCGCAATACGTCCTTGGCCGATAGGTTACAAGAACATAATTTTGATTCGTAAAAACCACATCCGAGAGCAACTCATTATATTTATGCACAATGTCATCACATCATCTGAAGTTGGTAAATTTCTTATAATTAACGCAGTATATTCGCATCACAATTCATTATTCAACGTGTTTGGTAATATAAATCGACTGCCTTACGCGCGCTGCTGTAAAGTAGGTTTTTGGGTGGACAACGTTGATGACTTTAAAATGAGCCCAGCGATGGCTTGTTTCACCAGATCTTCCGCCGCAAGATGTAGCAGCGAATTCACGCGTATTCACATCTAACCAATACTAATTTCGTCACCTTAGAATAACTGGGGAATTTTTACGACAGATCTATTTTAAAGGAGCATCATTTGCTGCATAGTCTGGAAATGATAAAAAACGGGTGGGATAATAATTTTCCAAAATAGTTTAAAGAAAATATTTACAAATCATTGTGAAACTAATAATATCAAAGTTCAGCACAGAGCTTTGCTAAGTATCTCGAAAAAAATAAACAAATGTTTGACACCTTTCAGTTATTTTTAAATGTAGACAAAACAAATTTCATCGCCTTCTCCATAACCGAAGCAAATAGACTTTAACGACGTAGAAATTAATTGCTTTCGAAATCCTATAAAAGAAGCTCGATCTACCAAGTTGTTGTTGATAATCATTTGAAGTGGGAAGGCAATGAAATGAGGTAAAGTCTGTTCATAGATATAAGAAAGTGACTAACTGATACGAATTAAGGAAAGACCCAGGCAAGCTGTAAGAATGAAATATGGCCAAACAGGTCCGTATTTTGCTTAGAATTTAATTATTTGGAGTTTGGTTAGGAAAGATACTAAACAATATTTATTTATTTATGTATGTATTTATGTTTAAATCTAAAATAAAATTACCAATCATTTCTACTACCTATTTAAATTACTTAAACTTATTCACATAATATAGCATCCATCTATCTATCTATCTATCATCATCGCCTGTTCTAATTATTATTTGGTCTATATTATTTGCAATATATACGATTGTTCTGCTTTTTCTATATGTTTAATAGAATTTGCCAAAAAACTTCGGTTTCTATAAGTTTGAGGACATTGGAGTTACCACGGGGAAAACATTGTTACGACGAATGGCAGATTTCAGTTGCTGCCAAACATGTTAAATTTGATTAAATATACAGTGGTGGCTTTAAAACTGCATGCCCTAGATTTTTTGCATAATTATCACAGACGTATTCCTTTTGTAGGTTCAAGTTTTGTAGAACCTCAATTAATTGCTTTTTGGTATAATCTTCGTGAAAATAAATGTCGTTATTATACATGGAGTTTAGCTTTTGTGTCACATGAGGAAAAGGTTTTAGTCAACTGTCTACTGTGATAACTTGCATTGTCCATTACAATTACGCTATTAAAAGGAATGTTTGGAACTAGTTTGTTTTTAAACCAACTTTCAAATAAATCAGCGGTGGTGCCTCCATGGTAATCCAGAGAAAAATCTTTAATATTTTTCGCAGACAGAGAAAGTCCATTTGGAATATAACCATCTTTAGAGCCAGCATGCAAAATATATTCTTTTACCTCTTTTTGATGGCGCGTTTGTTTTACACTTCTCAGTTGAGTCAACCCAACCGTTTTCCGGGGTAGTCAAACCAGGTTTCATCCAAGTAAATAATTGGCCTTTGTTGTTCTCTGTAAATCCTAATTTTTTCTAGATATTCCAGTCGCCATTTCCGAATTCTAAAAGATTCCATTAAAACTTGCCTTTTCTCAATTTTTTAAAATCTAAAACCCAACACACACTTCCATAAGGTAGTTCTGTCACATTTAACACCGGTTTCATCTTTTTCAAGCCTCCTAATTAAGATATCTAATGTAGGCACGCTTTGTTCCTCGTTTAAATGGTAAATTTTACGCCGTAGTATATCTTGATCACTTTCATCTACACTCGAGAAAATGTCAGCATCGAAATGGGATTATTCACAATTTTCCATACAGTTGATGTTGGA